GGAGGGGGGAGAGGGGAGGGGGAGGGGGGAGAAGGGAGGGGGAAAGGGGAAAGGGAGGGGGAAAGGGGAAAGGGGAGGGGGAAAGGGGAAAGGGGAGGGGGGAGGGGAGGGGGAGAGAGGAGAAGAGAGAGAGAGAGAGCATGTGTAGCCACAACTAGCTCTTTATGGCCAGAGCATGAAAGGCAGGGAGTGGAAGGGGATGAAGCCAATCACGCAGGATCTCGGATGGCATCTGCAAGTGGGGACTTTATCCTAGACAGTGGTGAGGCACCGAAGAGGGTGGGGTTAGGGGATTGCATGCGTGGTGTTCTGTACTGGGAACATCACCCAAGCAGCAGTGTGGAGGATGGATTTCTGAGGGGGATGCAGATAGTGAGAGACCAGGGCAAGGAGAGCAGTCCAAGCCTGTTAGACAGCCCTGACTAGAGCTGATGTGGCCCTGAGCCAGAACCCAGAAGGGTGAGGCACTGAGCAGACACTAGTGAGTTTCACCTCCCAGCCAGGCACTGTGCCAAGCACTGGCAATGCAACAGCGAGCAAGTGGGCACGTCCTAGCGAGGATCCAGGGGACGGCACAAAGGCAAGCAATTTTCAGGAGGTGGACCAAACAAGTCCTGGGGACACCTGGGTGGGAACAGGAGAAGGGACGCCTCTGAGCCCCAGGGGTGCCCACCACTGAGTCTGGGGCCACAGGAAGTGAAGCAGACCTGGACACCGCACAGGGTCTCCAGCTCAGAGGAAGTCAGAGTTCACCCTCCAACGTGCTCAGTTCCTGTTTCTCTCCCTGAAACAACAGCACAATGATCTCACAGAGGGTGGGGCCAGGACAGGATGAAGTTGCACCTTTCCCCAGGTTAAAGGGGCTCTTACCAGTGGAATGACCTTCTCCTCTTCCCGGCATCTCATCTTTAGCCTCTGGTAACAGGTCTCAGGAGTGGTCTGGAGATAAACTAAGATTTTAAAAAACATATATGTGGCTTTAATTACTCTGTTCATGGCTTGGAAGTGAAAGTGAGGGGTAGGGGGAAGGAAGGCGTGTGGGCAAGGCGTGGAGAGAAACATCTACCAGCAGCCCTGAGCAGGAGAGGCAGACCAGCTGTGTGGCCAAACAGGCTTCTTGACCCTCATCCTGACTTTCATTCTCTTTCCACATCACCAGCCCCACAGGGTCACTGTGAAGCTGAACAGGTTCCGTACATTGCCAGAGCTTAGCACAGGGCCTGGCACCCGGCCCGTCTCAGTAACGGTCCAGGTTCTGTCCCTCCTCCCTCCTTTACAAACTAGAAAAAACCCATCATATCACAAGGGACCGAGGGGAAAGCAGTTTGAGGAACTGGCCAGGGTGCTTCTCCAGGAGGGACCAAAAGCCCCAGATTCTATCTGCCCTTTGGGAGAAGGCTGAGTCAAGGCAGGGGAAGAATTGCTTATGGTGAGGGCCCTGCCCACCGCCCCTGCTGCTTGAGGCCCAGCCAACCACCTCCTCACTGGGCCCAGGGGAGGGAGGCCAGGGAGGGACTGTCTCACCTATCAAGTCAATGGACACGTCGATGTTCTTCACAATCCAGTCAAACCATTCCGACAGGACCACATAGTCCACTTCAGGCATCTTCCCACTGGAACGAGAGTTATAAGGGTTTTATTACCCCATGAGAAAGTTCCTGGGCTGTGCCGTTCCCCCAAAACATCTGGGCACTGCCTTTATTGAAAGGGCACTGCCAAGGGAACCATGACATAGTGTAATCACGTGATACTGAGCGGGTAGTGATGACAAGGACCCGAAACCTCCCGACCTCCCGCTGCCCAGGGACGGTCGATGGTATAATGCAGCGAGTATCTTGGCACTGCCCGAGGGGAGAATTCATTTGGGATTTGAACTCCAAACCAAGGAAGGGGCTGTGAAGCCTGTCCCCTGAGAACACGGACAGCGCTCAGGCTGGGAGGTGGAACAGCAAACCCGTTTCACCTCTAGAAATTTATTTTGTGGAAACAATCGTGGATGCCCTCCGTAGCACTATTTAAAAAATAATGAAAAACTAAATCATGGTACATCTATCTAACAGAAAACCACACAGCAACTGAAAGACGATGCTATAAAATAATATTTAATGACGTGGAAAATGCTCACAATCAAATTCTCATTATTCAATGAAAACAGGAGGATATAAAACTGTGCATATAGCACGACCCAACCATACTTTCAAGAGTATTCATCCACACATTTTGAAAGGAGACTGGAAAGAAAACCACCAAAAGGTTAACAGTGCTTTCCTCTGAACTGTAGGATTATGGGAGACATTTTTTTCTTTATCTCTTTCTGTATTTTCCAAAATTTAACAACATACTAGTTTTCAATTCGGGGCGGGGGTGGGGGGGGGAAATTACTACATATTTTAAGTAATAACTGAAAAAGAAAGAAAGGAAGAAGAAGCCCACAAGTGAGAGAGACCTGGCGTCTGTCCTCTGCCCTGGAGGAAATGAGCAGGGAAGAGCGGGAGGAGGGGCAGCAGCTGGAGGAAACAAACCAGGCAGCTGTGGGGTGACCCTCAAAGGCCCAGGAGAGGAATTCCTTTCAACATCCTCCACCCGTCTTGAATATCATCTTGGATCCACTCAGAACTGGGTTTGGCAAGGCGGGCTACGGGCGAGTGAAGGTGCCTGAGCTGTGTGCAGCTGGGGGTCTTCTGACTGCTGACTAAAGAAGGGAAGGCGGGGAAAAGAGGCCAGTGGAGTGGGTGGTTTGCAGCTGCCCCTGCCACGGGTGGTGAACTGACTCCCACCTGGGTGAGGGGGCAGGATGGGCGTGGAGGAAGGCGCTCTGAAGATGACAAGCTCAAGCAGCCCTGCCTGGGGGCCCAAACGATGGGGCGGGGCACAGACTGGAGGGGGACATCCTCCCCTAGTCCCTGAGACCACCAGACGCCCTCAGCGCAGAAGAGCTGTGCCTGGCAGAGCAGCAGGAAAATGCAGGGTGCCCGGGAGAACAGCAGGGGCAGACGGGCAGTTGTCGGCGCCTTGAGGGGTCTCAGGCATCAGACTTCAGCAGGGAGACCAGAGCAGACTAACGTGTGAGGACCAGCACCCGCCCCCACGAATAAGTCGGGGAGGCTTTGTAGGGGAGGGGAGAGGGAGGAAGTCCCAGGACATTGCAGAAGGGACCAAAATTCAGATACTAAAGGTAACAACTTTGCGATCACAGCTCATATGGTTGCCCATCCCCCAATTCTTTCCTCCTACCTCCTTAAAAGTAGCCCATGGTCTATTCAGGGTCCATCCCACAGGCCTGAGTGTTCAGGGAAACCTGACCGCAGCCCAAGCTTCAGAGCAAACCAACTGGTCTGAGGGACGTCCTCTCCGCTGGCCAGGCTGAGTTGATCAGCCCAGGCCAAAGGGCCCAACCTGACCAGTGAGACATGAGGGAGGTTTGCTCCTCATGCTTAGAGGAGAGCCACTGGCAAGACATCCACCCTCTGGCCAGCAATGAGAAGCCCGGTTCTGCCACAGGCGTTGTGTCACCAAGAGGGACTCATATTGAGGACACAAACAAGACAGTAGGAAAACAGAGAGAAACAGCACTAGGGCCACCGAATGAAACCAACACCAAAGCCTGCTGTTAAGACAGCCCGTGACAACCTCAGTGTTCAGGCTACTTTGAGCTGGGCTGCAGTTAGCTGCAGCTGAGAGTATTTGATATTCAGACACCAAACCACTCTTCTTGACATGTTTTCCTTCTCTGGAACAAAGCTGACTCCGAGGGAATGAGGATTTGCCAAAAAGAAGCTGCTGATCAGCCCCACTCGCTCCACCGAACACGCAGCCTGGGCACACAGCACAGACTGGCAACTCAAGGGTGAGGGCCAGTGAGCAGCACACATGGAGGGAAAGTTGCCCAATAGCCTCCCACGTCATGAACGCTGGACAGCTGGTGTGAGACTGCCCCAGAGGACTTCACCGGTGTCTGTAAGGCTCAAGGGAGGTTCTGTCAAATCCCAGAGCTGGGAGGATACCCTTAGCTGTGGCCACCGAACTGAGTCACAATTCAGGACATAGGTAGCACAGTGTTAACTAAAACCAAACCAACTGACACCACAAAAAGTGTTGGGGCCTGAGAGCCGCTGCTCTGCTGGAAATCGGCCCCAGGTGGTCTTAGGACACCTCCTGGGTGGCTCAGGAACCTCCCATTCTCACCTGGCCCAGGCAAACCCGGGAGGAAGCAGGTCCTCCCTTCCCGATGCTCTCCTTAGAGGTCCTCTAGACGGCTCCGGGGCAGCCTCCCTGAGGGCAGGGTCGGCAGGCAGACCTCCAGAAAACCCTTCCAAGACTGCCAGGAGCCATGTGCTGGGGGGTCCAGGACAACTGGCCACCGGCTGAGCGGAGTGAGGAAACGGAAGCTGCCTTCCATGATTCTGAGGCATGTCAGGCAGCGGGCGCTGTTTTATCTGTATCTGCAGTTTTCCTCCTAGGAATCTGCCCGGCTCCTCCTTTGTCTGCCTCGAGAATGGGGCGCCCAGCACCACCACCAAGGCACTGCTTTTATTTCCACAGAACACACGGAGGGCAGCACCTCTCTGCAGACCCACCAACGGTGGACTGAGGGGGTTTCATGGTGCCTTCCCCTTATCCTAGGGGGGCAAAATTGAGGTCACGAGTCCACACGAATCCTGCTGTTTTGTTTGGCACGGTTTGCTGCCGCCCTCCCCGAGGCCCAGAGAGCACGGGCTGAAACTGAAATCACACACTCAAATGCCAGCCTCCTTGTGCACATGACATTCTTTTGTTTCTCACAAGACCTTGTGAGGTCAATTTTAGCCCCAAGTTATAGATGAGGAAAACTGAGGCCCAGAGAAGCTCAGCCCAGCCCTGAGCCAGGGACTGAAGCCTGGCTCTCGGCGGCCCCCAAACCCATACGCTCCTGGCTGCACCACGTGCCCCAACCCCACCTGCCCCGTCTGTCAGCTGAGGGGGCTGCCCCTGGGCCCGTCCAGTGTCTCTCTAGCCTCAGCCTGAGGAAAGCCACCGCTCGCAGGCCCATGACACAGGCAGTGAGTCCCCAGTCTGGCCTAGAGTGAGGAGGAGTCCAAGCCCCAGGGCCCATCAGGGCAGCAAGAGGACCCGCCTGTTGTTCCAAACGCAGGGCCTTAATGGATGTCCACAACCCGCAGCCCCAGGTGAGTCAGTGTGTCACTTCCCCAGCTGGGCCCCATGCAATTCCCTTCCTTCTGTTCTTAGAGAACACCAACCAGGCAATCCTGTGAAACCTTTGTGTTCAATTAGCCCACAGGGTCGGGCCACACAGTGGCCTGCATGGCCGCTTTAGCTGCCTGAGTCTTTCTCGCCACCTTCAGCTGTTCATTCCAGCACAGTGCCCACACCTCAGAAGTCCTTCTGGTTCTTTAAGTCTTTAAGGAGACTGTGGAACCAGAATCTTCCTTGTTGGCAATTAACCCCTGGTGGCATAATTGCATGTATGTTCTGCCCACCCCAAACTCGCTGGGGTGAGGATGCGGGCGGAAGAGGCGGGTCTCTCCCTGGAGTAGCTCCTCACTTGTCCAAGGCCCAAAAGGCAAGAAAGCCCTTCCAGAAGTCTGGCTTTGGGGGATGCAGAATTGCAGAATGTGGGCTTTTCTGGGCACCCGAGCCTGCAACTGCAGACAGCAAAGCCACGCCTACCGTACTTCCTTCCATCCCAGTCCCTCCAGATTCCAAGCCAAGGCTGCAAGGGCTTCTGTGAAAGAGAGAAGGGCCAACCCCAAGGCTGAAGGGGCAGCAACCATGCACTTGTGTAAGGGCTGTGTAAGGGCTGTCCCCACACAAGCTCCCAGGCAAGAGCTGACACCCAACACAAGCCATCTTGTGGTTCCCAGTACCCAGCTGAACTTCCACAGGTGGGAACCAAAACATCCTATTCTGGCTATGAGCAAAGGATCCAGCCAAACCCAGTTCTAGGCGTCATTTGGTTTAGGCTCAAAATGATGGTAATCTGTATTTGGGGGGCATGGAAACATCTACTTTCGCAGCACCACTTCACTGTGGAAGGCCCACTGCATGGAGAGAAGCTGGGTTTCTAATGAAAGTGACCAAGAAGAAAGCCCACATCCTACCCTTCCTCCCACCTGTCACTTCTTTAGCTCTGGCTAGAAATACCGTTTACTGTGCCTCCAAAAAGAAAACCTTTGGCCTACAGCTGCCTCACTCCTGACCTAGGAATACACCCAGAGACCCTGAAAACAAAGGTAATACAACAAAACCCCCAACAACCAAAATCTGAAGCCACAAATGTGAAATGAAGAAACTGCAGGTGGTGCAGGAAGCTGAGGAAATCCTGCTCCACGAAGAACTTTCACTCTGGCTGGCCACCTGCCCCACGGACCCCCACAAAGACAGCCCGCAGGTCTTGCTTTCAACGACCCCTAAGGCCCAGGTGAGGCCCCAAGGAAGCCACGGGGCAAAACTCCCAGGGGAAAGGACCATGATTGGCACAGACGGCCCCTTGCGGGCCACCTGGCTGCTGCCTTCTTCGGAGGCTGCCCCTCCAAGTGTGACGCCAACCAGCAGGATGATAGCTACCCAGGGTGCTTTTCTGCTACAAATGCAGGCTCTCGGGCCCCACCCTGGAAGCAGCATGGGTGCATTAACAAGATGCATGGAGTCTGTGGGAGAAGCTGAGTGTAGGGCCTGGGTGGAAAGGGGCAGAGGCCTGGTCCCCCGGAGCCAGCACACTGGGAACTCCCCTGGGCCTGAAGCCTCTGGCCTTACAGAGAGAAATCTAGATGTCTCACCACTTCCTCCTTCACTGCTGCCCCACAGAGCAGTGTGCAGGTCAGCCCCCTGGTCAGTTTCCTGCCCAACCAGGAAGGAGCAAGGCCTTCGAACCCCACGTGGTTCCTGGTCTGCCAAACGCGGTCAACAGTGCCCAGCTCAGTGCTGCCTGGAGGGCTCAAACGGAAGGACAACGACTGTAGCTCCTGCCCACGGGTCCCTGCCCTGCCCCTCAACCACATGAGCCGTGCCTACTCTCAGGTAAGCTGGACCAGTCCCACAAGTGAATGGCCTGCACTGGGAAGGTGCCTCTTGGTGTCCCTGCCCTTGGATCTCTGCCGCCCAAACTCGGGCTCTCTGGGGAGTGTGGCTGAGTGAGGGGGACTCCCAGCCACATGCTGAGCACACCAGTTGTTACAATCACAGGGATATGTTATGGGATAGAATGCAAAGACTTCGAAGAGAAGTCTTCAAAGAAATTTCCAGTTAGTTAGCCGGCTGCTTCGGGTACGCAGGCTGGGAAAACCTGCAGGGAAGCGGCCGCCTGGGTGAGCGTTTCTCTGCCTTTGGAGACTTCAGGGAAAGGGTTTGAGGAGCACTGCCTTCTCTCATCTCCCTGAAACCAAAGTGGCGGATGGCCTGGCCCCCCTGGGCCCCCCTTTGGGAAGCCCAAAACTGCCATTTTTGTAGGTCAAAATTGGTCAAGTGCTAATAATTTCATACGGTTCAACCTAATTAGAAGTTGTCTTGAATACCACGAAGAAAACCAACAGAAAGAAGTAATTAAGAGTAACAAGAGGGGCTTCCCTGGTGGCGTAGTGCTTAAGAATCCACCTGCCAAGGCAGGGGACGTGGGTTTGAGCCTTGGTCCGGGAAGATCCCACGTGCCACGGAGCAACTAAGCCTGCGCGCCACAACTACTGAGCCTGAGTTCTAGAGCCCGCGAGCCACAACTACTAAAGCCCGTGCGCCCTAGAGCCGGTGCTCCACAACAAAGAGAAGCCACCGCAATGAGAAGCCCACACACTGCAACTAAGAGTAGCCCCACGCTCGCCACAACTAGAGAAAGTCCACGCACAACAGCGAAGACCCAACGCAGCCAAAAATAAATAACAGAAAAAAAAAGAATGAGAGGCTCAACCCACCTAGACAGGGAGGCTGGGACCACAGCTGCAGATGGGAGGGAACAGGGAGGCAGGGTGTAGAGAGTGGAAGGCAGATATCAGGACCAGCTCTGTGAGGGAGTGAAGCTCAAAGCTACCAAGAAGGGAGACGCAGAGAAGAAGCTGCAGCCCATTCCCCAAGACCCCCAAACATCAGCAGTCAACTGAGCGCAGGAGTGGAGGACCCCACACCTCTGAGGCCACAGCACTGAGGGCCACCAGAAGCCCCCCCAGCTAGGTCTGTGTGACAGAGTCTGCTCCCACGAGGGCAGAAGACAGCTGTGAGTGAAACCACAACAAATAGCATGCACACTGCTGGACTGATGGCTCTGGTCGCTCTGACTCTTCACCCCTCCCTGTCTCCTCCCACTTTGCCATGTAACCCACAGGGCCCTGCCCCCTCTCAGACTGGGGTGGGCTGGTGTGACCTGCTCTGGCCAATGGATGTTAGCGAACATGAAGCAGAGACCTGAAAAGAACTACGGTGCTTTTGATCTGCTATAGCCATGAGATGTGAATGCCCAGGCCAGCTTGCCGGTCCCAGAAGGAGGATCAGCAAGCAGATGAGAGATGAGTCACCCCAGTCACCCTCAATGGGCCACCCCAGACCAGCCAACCCCTGGACATATCATTGAGCCAGCCAAGGTCAGCAGAGCCGCCGGGCCGGCCGCCCTGGACAGCCGAGCCATCAGCGCGGAGAGCTGTCTGTCACTGAGGCCTTGTGGTTGGTTGTTACACAGTGTTACTGTGGCAACACAGTAGGTACTCAGTATGTGTCAATTAGATAAATAAGTTTCAATTTCATTTTTAAAAATGTAATGGTTTAATAAATTATCGATTGTGCAAACTACGGTACCTTCTATACAAGTTTTCTACAAAAACGTATCTTGCGCTGTGAATTGACCGCTCCATCAACCGTACAGGCAATGTCTACAAGAAAACAAAAAGTGATTCACTAACTCAGGCAAAGAGGAAGGGGTCAGGAAGCCTTGAAGAATGCCTGTTGCTCCCCCTGCCTATGGTCTATGCTGAATACAAGAATTGAGAAGCCTCAGGAGAGGGAGGTGGACACCAGAGAACCGTGTGTCCCACGTTAGGCTCCCTGGGCCCTGGACCCTCCCCACACCATACCCTGAATCTCAGTGGTCAGTGCAGCAAGGCCGGGTGGAGGGCCTGTCAGCAGCAGCCTCCTTCACAGGAGGGGTGAGGCTCCACTGGACTGTGGGTTTGGGGAAGTGCCCCCCGGGAAAGTGGTGGCAAGCACAAAGCGTGGTGATTATCATGGACCTAAATAGGATGCATTTGCTTAAGCGGAGGCACAGCTCCGAGAGAGCTGGGCTGTGGCTTTATGGAACCCCACCAGCATGCCTGCCAACCTTGCCGCCTCCTCACAGGGCTGGCTGGGGATCACTGCAGCCCTTCAAAACTGGAAAGGACTGTGCCCAGGAAGAGGGAGGACGACACTGACATGGCCCCTCTCTGCCAGCATGCACACACCCTCCACAGAAGGCCTTTCCCTTTGTCCAGTGTCCCATTGGGAAGCCGGAGGTGCTCTTACTCTTGACACCAAGTGGACAAACACTGCTCTCACTCAGCCTGGCCCACAGCATCCAATGGGGCCTGGACCAGCAAATCGGAGGCTGATTTAAAGCCATAACCCAGGAATTTCCTGACTCTCCTATTTGTCTATCTGTCCATCTGCCTTCTTTTCTGTTTTTCAGTCCTCTCCTTACTTATGACTCTCTGCTGCCCATCTTTTGCTAGTTCCCCATTTATCCCTCTCTCCTTCTCCTCCTCTTTCCTAGTTTGTCCATCTCTCTTTCTCTGCCTCCTTCCTGATAGATTTCCTTAAAGAGAGGAACACACACACAGCCCGTTATATTCAGATATACTAGATACAATTTACATTTGCAATCGAGTGCCCACCCAGGAGAAGCAGGTTGCAGGCCAACCTCAGACCATACTCTGACATGGATCTTTTAGACAGATTTTTGGGGAGATAGAAATTTATATGGTTCTGCTCATATCTTTTTCTATTATTAAAAGACACAGATTTGTAGAAGAATGACAGCTACGGCTGCAAGTGCCCAGCCTTGCATCAAACCACTGAATGGCTGTGTCAGAGAAACTGGCCGATGGATCTCCTGTCTCCTTCAAGGAGAGCCTCCAAAGCCAGTCTCTTAGGTGGTACTTGCCATTCTGAACCACGGGTGCCAATCGGATCTCTCAGTCAGCCTTTCTTCTAAGAGACTCTGCCCCTATTCACACCCTGCTGATGGAAGGGGCCTAAGTGGCCGTGTTTGTGACCTGCCCCAATACCTGACTGGACCAGGGCTGGACACCTGACCCAAGCTGAGCCAATCAGATTCTTCTCTCAAGAACCTGAACTGAGAATGTGAACAAGCCTTGTGAAGGTTAGATCAGCAGCTCTCATGCAAACAAATAAGGGATATGTTAAAATCACCTGGAGAGCCTGATAAAACCCAGATTGCTGGGCCTCACCTCAGAATTTCTGATTCAGCAGATCCAGGATGGGGCCAGAAAATGTGCATTCCTAACAAGTTTCCAGGTGCTGCCGCTGCTCCTAGTACAGGGACCACACTTTGAGAAGAGCTGAGTTAAAGGGAGTTGAGCCCAGGAGCGATCGGGTCATGAAGACTCGGGCTTACATGGCATCATAGCAAGTTCTTGGCTAGCTGAGGTTGGTGGGTGGGGGCACTGGAGGCTGGTCCTCAGAGAGCTGTAGGAACAGAGACCTTCACCCCAGAGACAGAGAAGGCTGAGCAGCTCTGAAGGCCCAGTGGGGCTTCCTTGTGAGGTTTCCCTTCCTGGCAACCACATGCCACTCATTTGAAGAAAACTGTGTTTAAGAAGGTTGAAACCATGGGCTTCCCTGGTTGCGCAGTGGTTGAGAGTCCGCCTGCCAATGCAGGGGACACGGGTTCGTGCCCCGGTCCGGGAAAATCCCACATGCCGCAGAGCAGCTGGGCCCGTGAGCCATGGCCGCTGAGCCTGCGCGTCCGGAGCCTGTGCTCCGCAACAGAAGAGGCCACAACAGTGAGAGGCCTGCGTACCACAAAAAAAAAAAAAAAAAAGAAGGTTGAAACCAAGCATCTGAAATGTACCTGAGGACGAGTGTGCTGGTCCAGCATGGTGAGCTGCACATATGTCTGCAGCGTGAGGCCCCATCGACAGGCGTCCTGGTACATCAGACCCTAAAGAGGGGAGAATGCAGTGCTCTATCTGTAGGACTCCCAGCCCGGTCACAGAGTGGACAGAGACAGACACTGGAGCAGTTACAGGACAGCCTGGGAACAGCTATAATAGAAGCCTATATAAAGTCCCAGGGAGCATTCATTCAGGCATTCAATCATTTTCACTGAGCCCCTACAGCCTGCTCTCTATCCGGCAACCAGTGAGCCTGTTATACTACAGGAGCCAGTTATCATCACTCCCCTGTTCAGGACTCTCCCTGGCTTCCCACTGCATTCACAATGAAATCCAAAGCCCTTACCAAGGCCCACAGGGCCCTAGACAATCACTTCCATCTTCTCTTGTCTCCAACCATTCTTTCTTTGGCTCTGTGAGCTTCCAACCACATGAGCTTCCTTACTGTTACCCAAACACACAAGTGTGATTTCAACTCAGGGCCTTTGCACCTGCTGTGCCTTCTGTCTGAACACTCTCCCCCAGACACCTGCACTGCTCCCTCCCAAGCTTTGTTTAGGTTTCTGCTCAAATGTCACTTTGTCAGAGATGCCTTCCCAACCATCCTCTTTAAAACAGAATCCACCTCCTCAATCACTCTCTACCGCGTGTAGATACAAAATACTTCCTCCATGTTCCACTTGCTAATAATCCCATTCTGGGGCTTCCTTGGTGGCACAGTGGCTGAGAGTCCGCCTGCCAATGCAGGCAGGGGACACGGGTTCATGCCCCGGTCCAGGAAGATCCCACATGCCGCGGAGCGGCTGCACCCGTGAGCCGTGGCCACTGAGCCTGCGCATCCGGAGCCTGTGCTCCGCAACAGGAGAGGCCACAGCAGTGAGAGGCCCCCGTACCCCAAAAAAAAAAAAAAAAAAAAAAAAAATCCTATTCTGCTCTTTTCCACATTTTTGCTTCTTTTTCTCTTGGTGCTAACTAATGGAACTCCGGTGCTCTGCATTGAAAACTGCTAACTCCTAACTGCGGGTGAAAGAATCTCAGAAAAGTTAGGAGAAACACTCCCTCTTGCCTGACAGCTGCAGAAAAAAAGACCTTTCTGCATCAGAAAACCAATTCAGATAAAGTGATGACCTGAGACTTTTCACAGAACTATCAATCTTGCTCCTCTGTCTAGAGTGGAAACTTGTGTAAAAATATCTAATTCTATTGTTTTTTTTTTAATTATAAAACTGTCATTGGCAATGCTCTTTGTGCCACGGATACTCAGACTTCTGAGACTGGGACTGGGTCCTGTGAAAGTCACCTCTAACCCCTAACGTCTGCAACTCTAGTTGTCTTACATAACAATCCAGCCCTGGTTCCTCTGGGTTTCCTAGAAGACAGGAATGTTTCTGAGCTTCCTTGTATGCCCACGACTGGCATTCCATCCTCTCCCCCTTGCTGAGAGGTGAAACTCTTTTCCCGTCTCTGGGATTCTTTATTCAAAAGCTCTGAGAGGTTTTGCCTTATTTAAATAATATCCTTCTACCTGCTTTAGATGCCTTCTTAGCTCCTGTCACCACCGGCCATATCACACACTTTTTAATTGCCTTCTGCCTCCCCACACTGGGATATTGGGGCCAGCAGAGCAGAAGCTTCGAGGTGCTCACCGCCCCAGCGTCTAGAATAGTGTTTGGCACATGGCAGGCATGCAATGAATACTGGCTGAATCAATCAGTGAACAAGCACCTACTAAGTGCTCAGCACTGTGCTATGTTCTAGCAAAAAACGGTGAGCCAAATGAGACACAGTCCCTGCCCTTAGTGGAACTCAGAGTCTAAAGACCCACACAAGGAGATGTCATTTGTGTTGCTAGAAATGACGGGACAGCACAGGCTCCCCCTAGTCCAAGGTTCAAACCTAGATCTGTCATTTACCAGCTGTGTGACCTTGGGCAACCTATTTCAGCCATGGTTTCCTTACCTGAAAAACGAAACTAATCGTTCCTCCATCATGGGACAGGAGCCCAGAACCAGCATCCCTTTCTTGAGCTCACTCTTACAGGACCCAGACTCCACCCACCTCTTTCAAGCAGCCAGAGTTGAGCCTTCTGAACGGGAAGGAGGTGGGAGGGGCACAGGCACATTACAGCCCCTACTTGCTAGGTCCACCCTTGGGAAAGCAGACTGGTAGCTTCAGGGTGAGCATGAGGCAGCCCCTGGGCATTGGCAAGTGCAAACCCCAATCAGAGGTTTACCAAGGAAGCTAGTTACTTAGGGACAGGTCCTGGGGGGCTAGGCCTGAGGAGACCTGGGTTTCTTCTAGGGGAGGGTGGGGTAAGAATGAGCAGCAGGAGAAGGACCCTCCGGTAGCTGGGGCCGACCACTTGGGATAGTTTGGGATAGCTGACAGGAGGTCCCTGGGCTCCTTACATGCCCAGCCAGGCCTCAAAGAACCTTGACCTCAGACCATCGACATGCGGCCATTTTCCCTTTGTCCCCTCCCTCTCCCCCACCACCCAGCGAAGAGCAAGGACACGTCTGGACAGGGTGCAGGCTCAGGCACCAGCAGCGCTGCTCCTGCACACTTAAGGGGCAGCTGGCGGTTCACGCATAGAACAACACACTCACCAGAGGATTATGGCCTCGGACATTTCTCCACTTGGGCACGGGCTCCGTTAACACCTGTCAGGAAAGAAAACATCAGAGAGCTGCTGCTCCTCAGTTCTGAGCTCTGTGAAGGCTCGTGTTAGGGGTGGGATCAGGGAGAGAGTCAAGATTTGGGCGCCCAGGGTGGGCCAAAATAGTGGAGCAACCCTCCCTGCGAGGCCACAACTCCATGCAGATGTGGCTCCAGGCGCAGCTTCGAGAAATGACTTGAGAACCACTCTGCCCACCCCTGTATACGAGCATATGCACACGCCACTTCTCCTGCTGCCACAGGAGCTCCCGAGGGCAAGTGGGTTCTCCCAATCCCCCCTCCACGTGTTCCACCCTGCCCCTTACTGCCCAGCACATCAGGAAGGCAGGGAGGTGAGAGAAGCCACGAGGGAGGCTGCTTCTTGCACTTCAGGCTGCAGCTTGCACCCAGCTTCCGGTCTGGGGGCTCTCCAGCGACCTTGGCAGTGTGCCCTGCCTCCCTTTCCTCCCTCTGATCTCTGTGTTGGGCACACTGACGGCAGAGTCCTGTTTCTTTAGTAGCCTCCCTAAGCTGTGCAGGTGTGTGCCGGAAAGGATTTAAATGGTGCCCTTGGGACTTCCCTGGTGGTCCAGTGGGTAAGACTCTGTGCTCGCAATACAGTGGGTCCGGGATCGATCCCTGGTGGGGGAACTAGATCCCGCATGCATGCCGCAACTAAGAAGTCCGCCTGATGCAACTAAGACCCTGCACAGCCAAAATAAATAAATAAGTAAATGGTGCTCTTGGGGCCAAGATTTTGAGAATATCCGGATCCCTCTGTGGACCTTCAAGTCCATGTGAGTAGGTGCCACAGGTCACAAGACACCAAAGGAAAGCAATGCATGGGACCCTTGAAGAGTAACCTCCCCCCACCTTTTACCCCTCTGTGCCTTTGCTCATGCTGTTGTTCTGCCCAGTATGCCCACCTCACCTCATTTCACCTCAACTTTCATTACATGGAAAACTCCTATACATCCTTCAGAATCCAGTTCAAATATCCCTTCCTCTGTGAATCATTCCCTGTTCCTCCCAACCTCCCTCTCCTTCTTCTGGGTCTTCAGCACTCTGGTCCTGTCCCCTGAGTAGCATATGCTGTACCACTCAGGCCCACCAGAGGCTGGGACACAGGCAGCCTTGACCTGTGCCCCATCTGTGGCACTGTCACTCAACAAATACTGAGCACCCACTGTGCCAGGTGCCAAGGATTCAGCAAGAGAAAAACCACCCCAGCCCTGCTTTCATGCTTTCAACTTTAAACTTACTGGGGAAGCAGACATTAATCAGGTCATCACAGAAAGCAACACATATTTTCAAACCCCGAGAAGTAGTACAAAATAAGGATACAGGGCTTCCCTGGTGGCGCAGTGGTTGAGAGTCCACCTGCCGATGCAGGGGACACGGGTTCGTGCCCCGGTCCAGGAAGATCCCACATGCCGCGGAGCGGCTGGGCCCGTGAGCCATGGCCGCTGAGCCTGCGCGTCCGGAGCCTGTGCTCCGCAACGGGAGAGGCCACAACAATGAGAGGCCCAGGTACCACAAAAAAAAACAAAAAACAATAAACAAAACAAAACAAAAAGGATACAGAGGAGCCAGAAGAACCTACACCATGGAGGGTAACCTAGCTGGGGAGGTCAGAGAGCAGAGCTGAGATCTGAAGGCTGGGTGGTTTTCCTAAAGCCAAAAAAGCTCTGCATACTATAGAGCCAAACAAGGGCATGGCCCCTGGAGCAGACAGCCTGGGCTGGGACATGGCATCACACGCACTAGCCATGCGACCCTGGCCAAGCCATGTCACCTCACTGAGCCTCAGTTTCCTCCTCTGCAACTGAAGTAATAACAGGACCTGTCTCATAGCGACTACTCCTGTAAGAATGAAATCAATTAGATAATATAATGATGCCTCAACACAGTGCCTGGCATAGAGTATTACCCTCATTAGCTGTTCACTCTCCTTGCTGACGGTATTGTTGTTGTACATTGGCTCCAAGGTGTTCAGTGAGAATACACGTGCTTCTAAAGTGTCAGCGAGAGTTACACAGCTCAGGACAGGTGTGTCGGGAGTCCCCCAGACGCCCACCTCCCCGGGTCTGAGGAGTCACTAGGAGGACTCACAGGATACAGCATATAGTCATACTCATAGGTAAGATTTATTACAGTGAGAGGTGACAAAGCAGAATCAGCCAAGGAGAAGAGTGTGTGGAGCAAAACCTGGGGGAAAACCAGGCACAAGCTTCCAAGGGGCCTCTCCCTCCTCTCACACAGGACGCATTCCCCCAGCAATATTTCTATAGGGCAGGTCCGGTTTGCACCCTTTATAAATGCACCAAGCTTTTGCAGGTTCCTTCAAACCTGGCGTGGAAGCTGTACCTCGATGTCAGCTGTGTTGGAGAAGAACTCCAGACACGTTGTCTTCCCGCTTGCAATATTGCCCTCGACACATATCTAGCAAAAGACAAACGCATGTTAGGATCAGAAATCGAGTGCCTGGGGGAATACCAGGAAGAATTTCTAGGGAAGGGCTCAGGTGAACAGCATAATTGGTTCAGCCCAAGACTCCAGTGTGTACACGAAAATCCCTCTGGAGGAAACCCCCAGGGTCCTGTTGTTAGTAATAGCAACCACCCGATCCTTCCCCTCAGTGGCAGGCTCCAGGTCCACCGCTGCTGGCCACCAGGCCACTGCCCTCCGGGACAGACACTCCCTTAGGTCAACGCCTAGACCCCACACAGCTTGCCCTCGGCCGCGCTAGCTCTGCCCTTCCCTAGCTCAACCCCTCAGACTATCAGATTTTAGGCCTAAATGTCCTGCCTCCTTCACCAGAACCGAATGGCTTTAAGGATGGGAAGCGTGTGTACGTTACCTAGAACCTAATGCATTGCTCTGTGCAGAAAAACATGCTTGGCCGTGGACTGGAAGGTATGAGGACAGGAGAAAAGGACTAAGATGGGCAACATACACCAATCCTGCACTTAACCTTGCCAGAACCTGAGAAGCAGGTTCTAACATTTTCACAGAAGAGAAAAATGAGGCTCTAGAAGGGCATAAGGCGAGGAGTAGAGCTTGAACGTTCACTCTGCTCACACTAAGTGTACTGGGGGGAAGGGGCTGTCTTGGCACTGGTGGGAGGAGTCTACCCATAAGAAAGACAAGGAGCCTCCTACAAGTACCCCACTGCAGGGAAAGAAAGCAACTGAAGCTGTGGTTCTCAGTCTTACGTATGTGCTACAATCACCTGGGAACTTTTAAGAATCCACAAAAGGAAGCCACAACCCAGGCCAATTCTGGCATGATCTCAGGGTGGGACTCAGGCCTCAGTACCTTGGAAAGCTCTCCAGGTGATTTCAACATGGAGGAAGCTGAGTACCACGGACCCATGGCAGGGTTTCTCAACGAGTGGTCCACAGACACCCTGCTCCAGAAGCACCAGCGGAGCACCCAGACCCTCTCAATCAGACTCTGGGTTGGGACCCTTGAATCTGCTGCCCAGCAATTCTGACAAAACGCTGCTCAGCCAGGACTGCTGGTGACACGGGCCAAATGGCTTTGGTTCCATCAGACCATGAGAGGAAATGGGCAGTTCCACATATGTGAGAAGACAAACTTGCCCTTGACAACACATATTACATGTCCCCTGGGGTACACAGAGCCAGAGGGGACCTGTCCTGCTGCACAGTGACCTTTACACCCAGGTTGGAAGCACCCACAGAGAAACGTGGGCCACTTAAGTGACTTGCCCCAGGTGCCAGGGTTGGCGGGGGAAAGAGCTAGAATTCACACCTAAGCCTGGCAACTCCCTTCTCATGACCCCAGTGGAGCCTCAGTCACACCCTGCATAAAACACAGGGGCACGGTGGGCTGTCTCACCTTGCCCCACCTCTACAAACTCTCGTCAGCAACTGGACTCTCTCTCAGTTGGCTGCAAAGATTTCCTCCTGCCTTGATCCTAATGGCTACCTAGGAGAGCTGGACGGACAATCGCAGTTCCAACAGAGGCCTGGCCCTCCAATCCGGGCTCCCTGTCAGCTTACTCCTTCAGCACAAGAAAACACAGTGAATGTGCAAAAGGGAGACCCCGTCAGGGCACCAGTGGATTTTATTTTTATTGTTGTTCTTTAAAGGAAACAACTTTTCCTAGATATTTAAAAAGAGCTCAACCTAGACATCATTCTGCACAGACTGTTTCTTTCCTGTTCATTGCAAGGAACGTGTTATTGAAATCCCTACTGTTGGATGTTACATTCTGTCCAGTTACTTTTATTATAAAACTGTGTTGTGACACCCATTATTTTGATATGATAAGCTGCGCTGTGGTGAACATTCCTGTACATAAATCCTTGTCATTGGCTCTGATTATCCCCTTCGATAGACTTCCAGAAATATAATCAGTGCATCAAAGGATAAGTGAGTTTTTACAGCTGTTGATGCATGATGCCAAATTGCCCTCCAAAATGCTGACCCAATTCACACCCCTTTTAGAAGGATGAGAGTGAGCCTATCAACATACTGTGCCAATGCTGGGCATATCCCATCCTAAATCTTCATTAATTTCATTGTTAATAATAATAATGTCTATAAAATTAGCCCCTGTGGGTTCTGTACTTTGCAAACATTGTCACATTGATCCTCACAACAATCACAGCTATGAATATTTGCACAGATGGGGAAACTGAGGCTCTAAGAGGTTAAGGACTTATCCACCTCCAAGAGCAGAGCTGGGACTGGAACCAGGTCTGAGGTCTGATCCACAGCTTTCATCACTCCATCTCCCAAAGCATTCTTTCTCTGTTAGGGAGGTTGAGCACTTTCTTATGTTTATTAGCCATTAATAAATTCACTCAGGAAATGTCTGTTCAGACTTTGTTCACCTGAAAACATTAGTCATTTCTTTTTAACCCGACTTTGGAATTTATTTTGTAATTCTGTGGTGGTGACTCACTTCGCAGCTGCAGCTCAGCCCAGATATTCCCTGTCCTGTCCAATCCCATGGGATGTCCCATGGGCACCTCAATTTATCACCCCCCAACACCCACATATGGCTTCTCTTCCCGTTCCTGTCCTCAGGAAAGGCTGCACCATCCACCCAGACACCCTCAAGGCCCTGGATATCTTCTCTCCTCACCCAGCAACTCAGCAATACTTCTGGGCCCCACTTCCTACTCACCTGCAGAACCTGGCCCGTCTCCTTGGCCCCTAGTTAAGGTCTCTAACCCTCCTTGTGGGAGCAGCCTCCCTGCTGGCCTCTCCCCCTCCAGTCCAGCCCGGCCAGGTCCCTCATCCCTTATCCATGGTCCACCACCTCTTCCTGAGACGCAAACCAGATCACAGCTGGTAAAGTCTTTCAGTGGCTCCGGGAGCTGGGATCTGTCTCCGGTCCTGTTTCCCGACCCCCAGGCCCTCCCCAGCCACCTCTCTGGGACTGGCCACAAGCCTCAGTCTCTCATCCCTCTGTGACTTACCCCTGCAGTTCCCTCTGCTCCAACACTCCTGCTTCGCCCTCTCCTCCTTCTCCCAGGAGGCCTCAAGTCTCCCCTCAGTCATCATCCTCTAGAAGCCCTGCCCCTACTCCCTGTTGTTCCAGATCCACCATTATCCTATTCACTGCCATCCCCCCCATCCAACCACAGGCTCACTAACAACAGGGGCTGTTGGATTCCCAGGTCCCCAGGTCCACACAGGAACTCAGAGGATTTGAATGACTAAGAGCAGCCCTGGGCCTGAACGCAGGCTCCACATCACTTCCCATGGACCACCTACTGTGTGTCTGGGGGATAACAGACCACACCCAGAAAGCACCTAGGACAGGCCAGCTCACAACAATGCTAGCTCAATAATTAATAGTACAATACTGCATCAGTTCCCATCCAGCTCAACTTACCAACCCCTTCCCCCTGCTATGATGCCTACGCCATACCCCACCCCACCTCTAGTTTCAACAAACTTCCATAAATCTCAAGCATTTTCATCACCAGTCCTCTCCGTGTGACTTCACTCCTTCCCAGGCCCTCTCCATCACCCCAAATACCCCAGGGGGCCTCCCCACACCTTCCGCCTTCTGCATATTCCAGCCAAGGTACTCCTGCCCACACCCTCCAAGCAAATCCCTTTCCAGCCATATCTACCAACTTCCAGCTCCCTTAAGGAACTGAGCCTCTGGATCAACGGTGACCGAGATACTGCTCCCCACCGCAGCCTGCTAAAGTCTTAAACATCCCATGGGCATGTCCAGTTTGACCCTCCTTTGACCTTCAACCTCACACCAGCCACAGTCCCACCCCAGAGTTAGCACCTCCAAGTCATTGCACTGGTGGAACCCTTGTCTGTGGACCCCCATGAATTCTCTGTTATCCCTCCCCCACCCACCAGTCTCAGCATGGGAATTCTGGGGGCAGCGGTCAGCAGACCTGCCCTCACAGCCAGGCTGCCACCCACTAACCCAGTCAACCTAAACTTCCACTTTTCAAATCTCTTTGTAATCATTCATCGAGCTAATAGTCCAAATCCACCTAAGGCTATGAATACATGTATTCTCCCACCTGTGTAGAGTCTCAGGTAGGACATACCAGAAACTAGTAACAGAGGTGGTCTCTGGGGAGGGAGTCTGGGGCCCAGGAGTGGAGACAGACTTCCTTATCCCTGGAGATCCTCTTGTATTCGTTTTTTTAACGATGTGCACATAGTTAAAAAAAACTTCACTCCCCTCCTCAAAACATGTGTGTATTATACGTGTGTGTTTATTACACATATATAATCCTACACTGGAAAGAGGGCACATAAAAGGGAGACTTACCACTGATTTTTTCTCTTTTTCATTTTCTCTACCTTTATCTAGAAAAGAAAGGAAATCAATTTTTTAACTTAGTTTTAAATAGCTCACTCTTGGGCTTCCCTGGTGGCGCAGTAGTTGAGAATCTGCCTGCCAATGCAGGGAACACAGGTTCGGGCCCTGGTCTGGGAGGATCCCACATGCCGCGGAGCAACTAGGCCCGTGAGCCACAACTACTGAGCCTGTGCGTCTGGAGCTTGTGCTCCGCAACGAGAGGTTGCGACAGTGAGAGGCCCGCGCACCGCGATGGTGGCCCCCACTTGCCACAACCAGGGAAAGCCCTCGCACAGAAACAAAGACCCAACACAGCCAAAAATAAATAAATATTTTAAAAAATTAAAAAAATAGCTTACTCTTCTTTGTCCTAATTTACTAAACCACGACAAAAACAGTAATTTTTATGCTTGCTCCCTGGCCTAAAAATGTTTTCCAGTGACACCTGGGACCCTCCCTAGGTGGACGGAGGCAGGCCTACCACTGCTATCTACCTGTGTGACACTGAAACTGCCGCCGGGGTCCTGTTGGCACGTCAGGGCCCCAACTGTGCTCAGTTTTGGTCACTTAGTATATTCTGCTTTCCATTTTCCACACATTTTATATTTATGATCCTCACTGATGGGTGTCCAGCCAGTTAAAACGCAGAGTTACCTCCACTCGTAGCTCCGGGAAAAGAGTGGTTGGCGGGTGGGCCACTGAAACCCAGGGGTGGGTTTCAGCACAGGACTCAGGCTTCTCCTGCAGGCCCGGGGCTGACATCGCGGCCCACCCACACCACAGGGGTTCTCAGGTGCCACTGAACACCCCGAGGCCAAAGAACGCCAGAACTTGGCCACAACAGGGGCTCTCACTTCTGAAGGGGAGGGTCTCCACTCCCAGCGGGAGAAACAGCGCACCGAGCCTAACGCATCCACCGCTCGCCGGCATCTCCCCCAAGGCCCAAAGAATGGGCCCAGGAACCTTGGGGGACGGGGGTTCTTTCCGCTCTTTAGAGGGCTCCCCAGCTCCGAACAAGAGTTGGGCCCGGAGCCCCAAGGCCCCACCCGCTCCCTGCCGGCGGGCGTCTGGGACACCAGCCAGCGACCGCCCCGCCCCTCCCCCCAGGCCGACCGAGGAAATCCCGGCGCCTCGGAGAAGGGGTTTCGGGTTCAGGCAGGTTCCGCGAGCTGAGGGCGCGGAGTGGGGCTGAGGGCCGCCTCCGTGACGCCAGCAAAGGGAACTGAGAGACGCGTTACCCCGAGGCCAGGCCCAACGCTGCGCCCTTGGCAACCCCGGGCTGGAGGCGGGGCTCCCGGGCCTGTCGCGGCGCAGCGCCCAGGAAGCCCAGCTCCGCAGCGTCCGCAGCAGCATTGCCTCGCGCGCGAATCCACCGGGCCTGACCTTCCTTCCGGCGCACGTCGGCGAAAGCGCGGCCCAGCGACCGGGCCCGCCTCCGCGCACCGCCTCCAGCCCCGCGCCCGCCCCGCCCTGCCGGCTCTTAAAGAGACTCCGTCTCATTTCACCCTCTCTCCGAGAAGGTGAGGGGTTCGCCCTTTGCAGCCTGGAAATCTTCCCGCCAACGAGACGCTGTTAGAATGAACCCATGATTTGGCAAGACTCGGGGCATGGGTGGCCAATAACACCAGCGACTGATTGGTTAATTAACTATTGGAGATTAGTTAATTGAGCATCTGTTGTATCCAGGCACCTGGCACGCAAGGTGTCATTTATTCTTCTCAACAACCGTATAGGTGGATATTGTCAATCCCATTCTCCGGGCTTAGCTGATCCTTGGAAACTTAGGTAACTCGTAAAAAGTGATCAGAAGCATTCATTAAGGGGTGGAGCTGGAATTCAAGCTCATCTATCTTGCTTCACAGCCAGCACTCTTTCCTCTGAACTTTGACATTTCCAGGGTCTGGACTGTAAATATATTAGATCCCTCAGGAAGTTATTTTAAAAAAAAACGAGAACAGGCCCCAAATGGAGTCGCTTATGCTAAGCCCCATTCACCAAACCAAGGCTTAATTATAGTTTTGGCTCTCCAGTCAATCAGGCTTCGTCTGATCAGCACTAGTTAGGTGACCTGCCTGATAGACCCCCTGCCATGCCCTAAAGAAAAGTAACCTTGCAATAACCAACTTCCTTGTTCTCGCTCCCTTCTGCCTATAAAAGTCTTTCATTTTGTACAGCTCTTCAGAGCTCCTTTCTATGTTAGATTGGGTGTGACACTTAGCAGGATCCTGTGGGGCTCCTGGGCACAAAAGCCTTTCTATGTGCCCCATCTCTTTGATTACAGGAAATAGGCTTCATTCAGCCTCTATGACCTTCCCTAAATTCCATCTGGCATATTCAAGCAGCTGCTAATTAGGGAAGGGAGGGGATGCAAGACAAAGGAGAAACAAACAGTCAAGAGAAACAATAAAAGAAAAAGAGAGAGAGAGAGACAATTAAAAAAAAAAGAGAGAGGGAGAGAGAAACAATAGTGCAGACTTGGGGCAAGGTCCTGGCTCCCCATCAAGCGATATACACGACAGTATCTTTGAGCTGTTTTGCAGATACTGAAACCCCCATCAGATGGGAGAAGTCAATGGTTAAGGACGGTATGCTGCCCACAAGCACGCAGACCCCAGACACCTTGGAACCAGAAGGTTGATGATGCTGACTCCCACTTACCACCAACCAATCAGAAGAATGTCCAGGAGCTGATCACGCCCTCTTTGAACAATTACTGTAAACCTTCTGACTAACCTCTCCAAGTTGGGACACACAGTTTTGAGGGCATCAGCGAGCTGTGGCCCCCTTTGCCTGGCAAAGCAATAAAACTTTTCTACTTCACCCAAAACTCTGTCTCCGAGATTAATTCGGTGGCAGGGTACAGAGGCCGGATTCAACTTCAGATGCCACCCGATTTGAATCCATTTTTGTTCAAATAAAATCTTAAAATTTTTAATATGCCTCAATTTATCTTTTAACAAAGGCACAACCAACGTTCCCACTGGACAGACAACTAGGGGGTGGGGAGAAGCTGGCCTGCTTGGCTCCCCTCTAGGTCTGAGGAAACGCTGCGCGCGAACCCTGGCTTTCCGCATACCGGGGGCCACCAGTAGGTGGCGGCGGACAGGGCCAGGGTGGCTGCCGCATGTACCCAAGTGCGGGCCGAGGTGAACTGCGCATGCGCGCCGCGACGGCGGGACGCCTTCAAGAGCGGCTCGAGGCCACAGTGGCCGTTGCAGCTGTGGCGTGAGGCCTGGCAGAGCTGTCCGCTGAGGAGGGGAACTGACGGAGAAGTGCTGCTGCTGGGTCTTTAGGCGAGATGCCCACGGTGAAGCTGAAACCGAGGCACCGCCCCTTCTGCTTCAGCGTGAATGGCCACGTGAAGATGCTGCGGCTGGTGAGGGCGGGGCCTCGGGGTGAGGGACGGTGTCCCAGCGCGCTCCCCCGCAGGGAGGTAGGGCTGCAAAGCATGAAGCCGATGCCCTGTCCTCTCTTTCAACCTTGTTGAACCTCTGTCAAGGCCTTCCTAGAGGCAAGGCATTTCGCTCTGCACCCTGAGGGTAGGAGGAGAGAAATAGGGCGCTGTCCTCCCCCATCAGGGGCTTTACAGACTCACTCATAAAGCAAAATCCGCACACCTACATGAATGGCCCACACTTGGACCCACAAACCAGGTACCCAGGTTACCAGGGGAGGCAGCTGCAGTTGTACCACTCAGATGCCAACAAGATTAAAAACAAAAACAAAAGCACCGAGGGGTTTCAGTGGATGCTGTGTTTACTTGCTAGAACTCAGTAGTTTTGATGTGAGTGAGCTCAAGGCTGATATAGTCCAGAGCAAGGACGGTGGAACTCCTGGTTCCTGGGGTGTCAGACATGCCAGGAGCATTGCAGCCAGTTCTGGCAGAGGTTGGGAGAGAATGAATCGTCATTTGGAGGAAGGCGACCTGGCTAGTTAGAGAAGAGGAAATTATCATAAGAGAATATGTTGAAGGAATTCAAGAAGAGAAAAGGGGAAGGAAAAAAATAATTCTTAAAATTTAAAGAGGCGACATATAAGGAGAGGAGGTGGAAAGTTAGAGGTTACAGGGAAACATTCCTGCTTATTATGAGGAAGAATTTTTTATTGGGAAAGTTGCCAAAATTAAGTGGCCACTTGGGAAGGCAGTACATTCCCAGACAGAAAAGGTAGCAGGCGCAGATGAGCACTTCGCATGTTGTGATGGCGATTTCAGCTTCAGGTGAGTGGGCAGAACAAACTGCACGCAAGGTCCTTCTCACACCAAAGTCTGTGATTCTGAGAAATAACTATGACGTAATGCAAGTCAGAATGCATGAAAGAAGTTTAGAAAACTACTCTGGAGTTCAGAAAACGGAGAGATTAGCTTGGGTTGGAAGTAAATAATCAGGAAAGAAGTGACCTGAGGGTCTGGGGTTTTATGCCAGGTACTGAAAGCTTTGGAACACTGGAGGAGAAATGGGATTTTGTGAGAAAGTTTCCATTTTTTTAAATATAATTATAAATCTTTATTATCATTTGTATATGCTTCAAAGTATTCTATAGTGTGAATGAAACACATTTATCATTCCTCTATTTCTGGTTTTATAGTCTCCAGAAAGGTTTCATTTTTGATATATTAATTCCCTCAACAAAACTTTGAATACTTAATGTATTCCCAGCCCTGAGTTAGGACTTGAAACAACAAAGACACCCAAGACAAAAGTCCCTGACTATGGAGTCCTTCAGTTTAGTCAGAGAGAGGCACACAAGCAGATAGCTGTGATGTGTGACAGGATGAAGTTAGAGCACAGAGTGAGGCATCTAACCAAGGAGGTGTCAGGAAACGTCCTAGGGGGACATTGGGTAGGGTTTAAGGGACAGCCACCTGAGCAAAGGCGTGGAGGCAAAAAAAAAAAAAAAAAACCCAGCATGATTTATGAGCAAACCATAAGAAGTTGAGTTTTACCTTATTTTTTTCAGCCAACAGATATTTATTGAAAGCCTGCCATGTGCCAGGCACTGTTCCAGGCTCTTGGGAGATATCAGGGGACAAAGCAAAGATCCCTGTCCACATGGAGTTTACATATTGGGGTGGGAGGGCAGGGAAGACAAACAATAAACACAATAAATAAATAAATGGTGTAATATTCTAGAAGGGAGTAAGTGCTGTGGAACAAAGAAAACTAAAGCCAGCTAAGAGAGTGTAAGGGAAGGTAGGGTTGGAGAGGAAGATTGCAGGAATAGAATGGTCAAGTTAGGCCTTGTTGAGGTGACTTCTGAGCAAAGCGTTGAGTGAGATGAGGGAGTTAAGCTATGAATATCTGAAGGAAGAGTGTTTTAGGCAAAGGAAAATCCAGTACAATGACCCTATGGCAGGAGTGTACCTGAAGGGTTCAAGGAAAAGCAAGGAAACCAGTATAGCGGGAGTGGACTGACATAGGGGCACAGTGGGAGATGAAGAAGGTTTTGAGTAAAGTTGTATATGATCTGACTAACATTTTTAAAAACTACACCAGCTGATATGTTGACAATAGATTGGGAGGTGGGGGCTGGTGGGGACAGGAGGATTCCTGCAGAGGCAAGGGTAGAAAAGAAGGAGATGAGTTGGGGCTATTGCAGTAATCTGGGCAAGAGATGATAGCGGCTCAGACCAGGCTGTTAGTGGAGTAGGCTATAAGAAATGATCACATTTAGGATATATTTTGAAAGTAACCCCAACAAGATTTGCTGATGAACCAGATGTGGTGTGAGAGAGGGAGGAGTCCAACATCACTCCAAAGTTTTTGGCCTAAGTAGCTGGAAGAATGGAGTTGCCATCCACTGAAAGCCTGTGGGTGAAGTAAATGTAGGCAGAGGATCAGAAGTTCAATTTTGGATTTCACTTTAGAGATGTCTATTAGACATTCAAGTGGCAATACTGAACAGGCATTTGGAATATACAAGACTGGATTTTAGGAGAGAGATTGGCACTGCAGAAATAGAAGTACTTAAAGTCACAAGACTGATGAGATCATCAAGAGATGAGTGTACATAGAGTGGAGAAGAGGACCATGGATGGAGCCCCAGAACACTTCAACATTAAGAGATTGGGGAGGGACTTCCCTCATGGCGCAGTGGTTAAGAATCCGCCTGCCAATGCAGGGGACACGGGTTCGAGCCCTAGTCCGGGAAGATCCCACATGCCACGGAGCAACTAAGCCCGTGCGCCACAACTACTGAGCCTGCGCTCTAGAGCCCGTGAGCCACAACTACTGAGCCCACGTGCCACAACTACTGAAGCCCGCGTGCCTAGAGCCCGTGCTCCACAACAAGAGAAGCCACCGCAATGAGAAGCCCAGACACCAAAACGAAGAGTAGCCCCCGCTCACTATAACTAGAGAAAGCCCGCGCACAGCCAAAAATATAAATTAATTAATTAAAAAAAAAGAGAGATTGGAGAGAGAAGGAGGAATCAGCAAAGAAGAATGAGAAAGCACAATTAGGGAGGCAGGAGAAACTAAAAGTATGGTGTCCTAGAAGCCAAATGAAAACTCTCTCGACGGAATGATCAACTGTGTCAAATACTGATGATAGTTCAAGTAAGATGAGGACTGAGAATTGAGCATTGGAATTATCCTGTGGATAAATTGTGAACAACTCTTTGTTAGAGAAGTAGACAGGAGCTGAGTCATGGAAGACTTTGAATACCATGGTGAAGGTAGGCTCTATTCTAAAAACCATGGGGAGCCATTGAAGAGTTTTAAATAGGTGAAGAATTGCACACATTTTTATTTTAGAAATTTTACTGTAACATATTTGTCATGGTAATTCAAGGAAAAGATACTGAAGGGCAGTGGTTTTAGGGACAAAGTGGATTCCCAAAATGCTTAAGCATTAAGTCAGCAGGACCCGATGATTGGTCAGTTGTAAGGAGTAAGTTGGAGCGGTGATCTTAGGTTTCCAGGAGCAGGTGAAAAGATAGATGGTCATATCACCAATTAAGATAGTGAATACAGGAGGAAGGAGCAAGGTGACAGTTTTGCACACGGTGAATTAAAGATTCTAAATGGCTATTTATGTGTGAGATGTTGAGGATAGACCTGGGACAGAGACCCAGATTTGTTGAGTGGGTTGTGGACAGAATCTAAAGGAATGCCATCATTTTAAAGAGATGGGCAAAAGGAAACCCACCGAGAGAATAGTTTCAGAGGTATAAGAACTAGAAAAGGTGACATGGGAGCCAAGGAGTAGAAAAGTAGGAAAAAGCCAATGGCAAATAAGTCATGGGGGTCTAGTAGGATAAGGATTGAAAAATGTTTGTTAAATTTAGTAATTTTGCAATCATTGATGATCTTGGCAAAAGCAGTCTACATAGAGTGGTGAAGAAATGTTTGAGGTATTAGTGGAATATTTAAAAGCTAACTGAAAACAAAAGCCAGGAGTTAGGAAAGATATGAGCTGTTAGTATGGATTAGGGGAGAACCCAGTGTGACTGAAATCGTGGGAACTGTTAAGAAAATGGATTGATCACCAGTGCCAAATTCCAAGGTTACAGAAGATGGGGACTGAAAAAGTGACCCTTGATTTCATAACCCATGAACTCAAGACCCTGGTTCAGTAAAGTAAATGAAGTGATTTGAGATGACATGTTGCTGATGGTAATTATATTAATTATAAAGAATGAGTTATTTAGTAACTAGTTACATTTACTGTGTAAGCAAACTAACCAATTTAGAAGTTTAAAGGTAAGCTACTTTTATACTAATAAAGTAATTGAAAGAATTATGAATAAGTAGCCTATATAGATCTAAGGTTAAAAAGAGAATGTGGATGCTGACAGACTGATCATAAAAGTCTAGCCAGGGAAGACTCTCGACAAAACCATTTTCCAAGAACACAGAGACTTTGGATAGAGCTGTATCTCCTAAGAACATCATGACATTGACAGACCCCCAGCTTATTTTTTCCTTTAAGTCACTTTTCATTTCTGTTTTCTATATCTTCATTTGGAAATGAGGAGATTGGATTAGATTAATAATCTTCAAGGGTTTTTTTTCCACTTAAGTTTTTGTTAATTCTGATTGCATTATGTTTAGATAAGAGGAAGTGTGTTAAAAAGTGAAGCATCAGAATTGTTGGGGTTTTTTTTTTTCCTTTTCTTCCTCACAGGATTCTTTAGAGAATTGTTTTTCTCTGACAATTTGTTTTCAACTTTCCTCCCCAGTATTTTTCATGGCAACATTCTAAGTTTAAATTTGACAGCAGATTCCAGATTGGTAAGAGTTAAGGAGTGATGAGTGGATGATAAGGAATTATATCAGCCAGTATACAGACTTTTTGGAGAAGCATTACAGGGCGAAGTAGAAAATGGGAATTTCTGTGGGGAGCAGGGTGAAAGGAAGGTATGTGTGTTTTAAGAGAAGATAACCTTAGATATGTTTAGAGGATGATGAGGAAAGGAACTAGTGGAGGAGGAGAGATTGAAGGTACGAGAGGGAAAAGGAGATATTTAGTGGAAAAAGATCAAGGGAACAGATGTGGGAAGTGATGGTATTAGGTATACAAGCGGAGTAATAGACTTAAAACAGAGAGGGATACCTAGTTCTCTAAAACACAAAGAGACGTCAACATCCATACATTTTAGTCTTCCTCTTTTAGATGTGTGTGTATATGGAAGAAACCCATTTATTTCGTTATTTTAGAAATGATCATTTTTACAGCTTAAACTTGTATTCAATAATCACTGAATAAATCATGTTTTTTTTCCCTATAGGCGCTAACTGTGACATCTATGACCCTTTTTATCATCGCACAAGCCCCAGAGCCATACATTGTTGTCACTGGATTTGAAGTCACTGTTACTTTCTTTTTCATAGTTTTATATATACTCAGACTTGATCAATTAATTGACTGTATATTTTGGCCTTTGCTTGTAAGTGTTCAGTTTCACTGTTAAAGTTAACTACTTTTTCCTGCCATAGAAAGACATTTTAATAAACTCTGTTCTTTAGTTTTCTTAAGCCTTTAAGGAATCTCTGACAGGCTTAGGAAGGTGGAACTCTACCCACTGCTAATGTGCTCTGGGGAGATTCTCAGGGAACCAGGGCAGCCACGGAGCATAAATTCTCCTCTGAGCTCTATCTATCAGTAGATGTGGCTGACCTTTCAGACCTATCTTTCTAAGGAGAATTCACGTAGGTGTAGATCTTCAAAAGAAATTTAAATTCAAGATCATGGTTAATGAAATTATACGGCATTCTTAATCTTTACCTCCTTTTTAAATGCACGTTGATATGACCTCAAAATTGGGGAATAGAAATGGAGACAGATACACAAGTATCTACATCTTACACATCCCTGATCACTAAATGGAAAATCAAAATAATTTAGAGGCTAAATAAAACACAACATTTTCTTACTTCAAAATGTCTCTTGGGCCTCCCTAGTGGCGCAGTGGTTGAGAGTCCGCCTGCCGATGCAGGGGACACGGGTTCGTGCCCCGGTCCGGGAAGATCCCACATGCCGCGGAGCGGCTGGGCCCGTGAGCCATGGCCGCTGAGCCTGCGCGTCCCGAGCCTGTGCTCAGCAACGGGAAAGGCCACAACAGTGAGAGGCCCGTGTACCGGAAAAAATGTCTGTAATCATTAATGCCACATAATTTTTAACTCATCTTGTAGAACCTTATTTAGTAGCATATGGACTTTACCTGCCATACTCACAGCATTAGGAATAACTGCCCAGTGGAATGCCCAGATGGCCTGGAAACTTTCAAAATAGGCAAGTTGAAGATACTAACTAAGGGATACTTGGCCCTTCAGCCTGGACCATAAGCTGGTTCTAGGAAGGACTGAGTGACTTCACTGCTCCTCTTTCAAGTCTTATCCCCAGAATCCTATGTCCATAGGTCTCCTTTCTGAGACCCCTGCTGCCCTTCCACCCTTTGGCTGGACTGGTGAAAGCACTTGTCTCATCCTCTTGGATTCCAGAGTGCTGATATCCAAGCTGATAACCCGTATTAAGAAGAGAGGACTTTAGAGCTATTCTCAAACCATAAGCATCCCTTAAAGTGGTGCCTCCTGGAACCACTTTTGAAGACCAACGATGAGCATTTCAGACTATTCACAAGCTGAGCAAGTCCCCAGAGTGGAAGGCTGGGAAATAGATAGGATCTTCATGGCGCCTCTCCAAAATCCTCCTTGATCTACACTTTGGAGCTGGACCTGACTGCAGTATAAGGTCTGGGACAAGAGATTACAAAGCCTTCCTCAGTTGGCCCTCAGGGTATGTGATACCATTTAGTGGCAGAAAGGACGAAGCTAAATTATCCCAAGGATTTCTTCAAGGAGATGATGAACATGGTCCACATCCTGTTAATCTTGTACCCAAAAAGTCGCAGAGTTGCTCTTCACACTCTGCTTTTCCAAAGTTAATGAAAGTAACACATTTTAGCATTTATTTTTCCTCAAACTGTAGTAATTCTCTGCAGCTTCTTACACGTCCCAGTAATAAACTTGGAGTCCTAAAGTTAACAGAACACACTGAGAAGGAGCATGGCCTATGTATAGCATGTCTCCAAATCTCTGAGGCTCACACCTGGCTGATACTGTACTCTTAGAAATGGTGCTATATTGGTCAACTAAGTTATTACTCCATCATGAAACCCAGATTCCTCTATGCTCTTGATCTCATGAAATCATTTATTCAACAAATATTAAGTATCTGCTAATCCCAGATTCTATACTAGCTTCTTCGATAAAACAAGACACAAATCTTGCACCTGAGAAACTTTCAATGTAGCCAGAAAGTAAGATAGGTGAGCAATCCGGTATAACAGGTGCTGTGACAGGTGTATACCCGGATGGTGTGGAAGGGAAGGGGACCAAGTCATAACAGGCTTGCCTGAGGAAAACTACGCCTGCGTTGAGGGCTGGAGGATGAAAAGTAGTTAGCCAACTGATATGGGACTGAGAGAGCTTTCCCAGTACAGGGAGCAGTGTGTGTGAGGGTCTAGGGGGAGAAAGAGCTGGACCCTCAAGGACCTGCAGGAGTTCTGAGTGGCTGTGAAGAAGAGAGGGGCAAGAGTGGAGGTTTGAAAGGCAGTAGGAGGTCAGAGCATGCAAGGCTTTGAATGCCCTGAGTTTTAATCCAAAGGCTGCTGGAACCTTTGGGAGGTTTTTAAGTAGGAGAGTGACATGATTAGCTCATATCTGAGGAGATCGCTGCTGGCAGTGTCGATAATGGCTTGAAGAGGAGCAAAACTAGAGTTAGGTCTCAGAGACCGCTTAAAAGTCTCTTATCCTAATCCAGACGTGGAAATGAGAAAGGCCTAAATTAAGATTAAAACGGTAGCTGGTGAGAAAAAGTGTTGATGAAAACTGATAGGACTGGGTAACAGGAAAATCAAGGATAGCTGCCATTTAAAGAACTGTCTTAAGAGGGTAATGAGACAGGAAGTATAGGAGGAAGGACAGCTTTAAGGAAGGGCCAAGGAGAGTGGTATGTAATGAGTTCAGTTTGAGACATGGAAGGTTTTAGTTGCTTATGGGGTACTCAGATGGAAACGTTCAGGTCTGAGGCTTAGGGGAGAGAAGTCAGAGCTGCAGCTTTGGGAGTCATCACCTCGTGATGGTAGATGAGCTCTGGGAGAAGGGCTCGGAGGGAGAGTAGAGGACGATAAGGCAAGACTGGGAAATACCAACATCTGGCGTGGAAAGGAGGAGTGGCCTGAGAAGGACAGGAGAGGACCCAAGGGAGACCCATGTCCCAGAAGCCAAGAGAAGAGAGCATTTCAAGAAGAAAGAAGTGGTGAATAATGTCACAGGTAAAGGAAGTAAGCCCAGAAAAAAAAAATCTATATTTACTGACTGTATTAATAGAGGCCCCCAGTGGCCTTTCCCAGAGCGGTTTGCCTTGAATGGACAGGTGACAGCAAAGCAGTGGGATTGTTAGACTGAGCAGGGAAGGACACAGCTGTAACTAGAGAGGCCACCACTGAGTTGAGGAAACCTGGCCAGGGACAAAGGAGGGTAATAAACAGTGAGGTCCCAGCAGAGTGGTTGATGGGAATGGGGCCAGAGCACAGCTGGAGAAGTTGTCTGTGGCTCTTTCACTATAACAAAAGTGAAGGACACAAAGATGCCTGAAGATTCCAATTAATCTGTAGGTGGGGAAGAGGTAACCTGTAAATACTTCTATCTGATGGCCACTGTCTTCACTGATTAGGAAAGAGCTTGGTCATCTGCACACAGATGTGTCATTGTCCCAAAGTTGCAGTAACTAACACAGTCTGTAGAGCAGGCTTCCTCTGACTGTTCCCCTCAAGTGCTCCAGGGACAGAAAACACACAAAGTGAGCCAACCCAGGGCTTTATGGTGATATGGAAGTACAGGCTCAAAATTTCTGTGAAATCTCCATTTTTGTAATTAAATTTATATTCTACTCCATGGCATACTGATGTTTGGTTTTCAAAGAAAAGCAATGCTTTAAACCACCATTAAGGATCACTGATGTTCTGGGGCAGGTGCATCCTTTTTGTCCCCCCCCCGTGATTCTCTGCACTCCCTAGAACACCATTTTTATCTGAAGCCATTCACATACACTTAGCCAAATTACTAACAGGAGGCAGGGCTGCCTGTCTGAAGCAGAGGTGTGGTCTATTGCCTTGAAGCAGAGAAAAATACCCAGCACAGAGGAGCATTAACCTAGAACTCACTATCTCCTGCAAATGAGGACTTTTTTTCTGCCTAAATGTATCTAATCTTACCCTGTCCCTGTTGAACCTCTTCCTATTTTCTTTGTAATAACCGCTTTCCTAAGTTACCAGAGTTTTGAAGTTTGATATTTCTGTGTTAACAATTCCTTCTTGCTACCATTATCTGCAAATATACATAAACCTTTCCAGAATAAAGACAATTTAACTTTCCCACAGTTAACATCCATTCAAAATGTAAGCTGCACCTCTTAAAGCCACAGTTCAGAATGAAAGTGCTTCATTTCAGGCAATTATTAAATGAATGAGCTACATCATCAAAAAATAATTGCATAATTGGCCAGCTGTTGCATACAGATACGTGGGAGCTTTTTCCCGAAAATTACCACTTTCTCCAGCTCTAAGTTTTATTAATTGCATTTGGAGTAACATTATAAAGTTGTTTATTTTATGGTGTAGAGCACACCACACTTTCTCTTATATTATTAAAATTCAGCATCCTGACTTCCCAGTGTACCATTCTACTTTAAACGTTCCGCATAATACGTCATCCACTCCTAACCAGATGAGTTCTCCCTCCAACTACATTTAAATAAAAAAGATATAAGCCTGTTAAGGAGTTAAATGATTGGTGTATCATAGGATAAGAGACCCATTAGGCATCATTACAGGCCAAATACAATATATGTGATATTTTACTGCAGCAGTTTGACTTCCTAAAACTAAATAAAACTATTTAAACTAAATAAATTTGTTTAATAAAATAGAACTTTCGAAATCTTTAGGGAGCTGATTCATTTTGTTGGTGATCTTCATGTAAAGCTGACCTTTCTATTCTGTGTTTTCAGGATATTATCAACTCAGTGGTTACAGCAGTATTCATGATAGTTATATCTGTGTTGGCACTGATCCCAGAAACCACAACATACATAGTCCTTGGAGGGGTAAGTGGAGGTCTTTCTGGTTTCTTCCTTCAGGTTCAATCAGAATTCAAATGTACTTGAAGAATAAATACAAGAACAGAAAGCTAGACTGTATTCATCCTTGAGGCTTCTATACCAGTACACAGTACCTAATGGCTTAATACTTCTGTGTGTGAACACGTGCCCTGATTAATGTCAAGGAAGATGATTTCACGCTAAAATTGAAGTTAACCAAATAAAGAGATTCCTCCATATTTCTAGACTAGACTAGATAGGTAGGGCTAGACTAGACTGAGATAGGTAGGGCTAGACTAGACTGAGGTAGGGCTAGACTAGACTGAGAAAAGCTACTGGAATCAGTTACAGAACTAAACTCTCAGAAACCTGATGTCAAGAATAAAACAAACCATGGATGAATTTCAGAGCTCTCCCTTTTCAAGAAGAGGATACATCCCACTTGCTAATGTGAGACAGACTGTTCTGAGCTCAGTTACTTCTTGTCCAGATCCTGCTTCAGATGGAATTTAATAGAAGATGTGTCATCGAAAGGGAATGGTGGTAGGAAGCCTTGTAACTGAAGGATTATTTTGAACACTGCTTGAAGAGAAGCAAATCAGTTTAATTTGGAAGGCAAGCCCAAACAAACGAAGAGTCAAGTAATTTAGTTACAGTTCCATCTGATATTCTTTTTAGATTTCTTACAGGGGATTCAAAATCATTTGGCTTTTCTAGGTTCTGATCTAGAGAAGTGAATTATTAAGTTCTTCTTAAATAAATCTCCCTCCTACTTCCTTGTCTTTTCATAGTATGGGCCACTTAGGAGAACTGGCCACATATGTCAGAACCCATGGCTTTTCAACTCCTTCATTAGGCCCAAAGCAACTTCATGAGGGATGGGAATTACTCTAGAAATGACATAGTGCTGTAATAGCAATCTCTCCTAGTTGTCTTTAAAGATAATTATGGAGAAAGAGGGATGAGGCATAGAGTTTACTTTCACTCACTTATTTACTCATTCACTCATTGATTCATTCTTTAAGTGCACTTCGGTAGGTGCTGACAAAGTATAGAGCCACAAGCCACAGGTGGCTATTGGGCGCTGGAAATGCGGCTGGTCTGAACTGAGATGAGCTGTAAGTGTAAAATACACACTGGATTTCAAAGACTTGCTACCCCCAAAAGAGTGTAGAATTTATAATTTTATTATATTGGTGACATGTTAAAAATACATTCTTTTGGATGTATCAGGCTAAATAAAATATATTATTAAAATTAATTTCACTTGTTTTTTTCTTTACTTTTTAATGTGGCAATTAGAAAATTTTAAGTGAATCATGTGGCTTACATTGGTGACTCACATTATATTTCGTTTAGACAGCTCTGGACTAGAATGTAAGCCCTATCCTCAAGTTGCTTAGAGCCTAATACAGGAGACAAAAGTGCAAGCAGCTGTGTCTGAGCTGTTACCAGAGTACTGTGGGGCACAGAGAAGAGGAAGCAGCTACCTCTCTCCAGCAGTGGAATTGTGGTTTGCCAGAACTAAAGGGGAGGAAACGGGGATGGTTCCAGGTGGAGGAACCAGCAACATGCTGTGTACCAGAGTCATGAAAGCACCGGTAGGAGGTATGTAGCGTGGTCAGAACCTAGGAAGCTGCGTTTGAGATTCAGGATGGAAAAGGAACAGTGTCTGAAGCCAGAAAGCCAGATTTCTTGGCAGTTGGATGGAGCTGGTGAAATAACACTGACATCCCCTTTCTCCAGCCCCGGCACCAGTTCTCAAACAGCCATCAGAATACCTAAAGACCATGTTCTAGTTTATTCCCTTTACTTCAGTTTTGTTTTCCTGAGGCCTATTTAGAATCCCACCCCTTAAGTGGATGTAGCCCGGCCTTTGAGAGTTCACTTTGGGTCATCTTATCACTCCATTTCTCCAAATCTCTTATCACAGCTACTATCACCATGGTTAAAGCTTGAGCTGGTGTTAACCTGACCTTTTCTCCAGTACAGTTTGCAATAGGAAAGTCAAACAGTTGATCATTGGGTATAGAAATGTTGATTAGTTACTAAGTATCATCGGCAGGGCTTTAAACAGTATATCCAGGAGCATGTCAAGAGATCCAGACAAGTATTGGTTTCAGAGCCCACACCACCTCAGTATTGTTTCTGCTCACTTAAATTACCTTTCCCTTTCTCTAGGAAGGTACTGGGAAAACTTGGGAATGAGAATAAAATGATCTCTGAAGTCTCTTCCCATTTTAGTATTAGGTGACAGCGTAGGGAGCAATCCTGGTGCCCTCGCAGGAGAGGAAGCCGGTGGGCAGACCACTTAAAACCTGTGTGACCATGGCCACAGCAGTGACACTGTGTCTTTGTTTCAGGTGTCTGGACTCGTGGCCTCGGTGCTCTCTATTGCCGACGGGGCCCTCATTTACCGGAAGCTGCTGTTTAATCCAAGTGGTCCTTATCAGAAAAGTGCTGTTCATGACAAACTATAAGTTTTGTAAATTTATATTCCTTTTTAGTTGATGCTAATTATTAAACATATCTCTTTATTCTAACACATATTTTCTGCAGTTCTCATTTTAATCTCTATATGGGAGCTGGAAGAAGAGATTTAGGAGCTGTGGGCCCAGCGCTGAACTTTCAAGGGAGCGCTCGAGCGCCTCAATCTTATGGGATCTGGTTTTCCTGTTCCTGGGCCCGGGAGGCAGAGGAGAAAGCGCCGGGAGCGCCCGAAATGGTCTTCAGAGCCCGCTCCCCGGCTGGCTGGCAGCACGGAGGTGGCGGCGTGGAGGGGACCTTGAGTGCCCAGGCTAGGCACCGGCGTCGCATCCCAGTGGCTACGAGGGCGGCTGAAGGGCTTGGTTTGTCTGCCGGCAGCCAGAGCTGAGTGCGCGAGGGAGAGGCGGCCGGCAGCCGCTGGGGCGCGACGCTGGCTCCCCGGGGAGAGCCGGCCGCCGCCGTGCAGGCTCAGAGCCGAGGGGCCAGTCAGACACCACCAGGCCCGGGGGTCCACCATGAATCCTGAAGACGACAACGCACGTTCGGGGGACTCGAAATCCGGGGGGCGTCCCTCCCGCTCACTAAACGTCGCCCGTGCGGCGCATCCCGAGCGCTCGGCGCCATCCACAAGCTCGGTGCGGGACACAAGCGCGGCGCCCTCAGCATCCCGGGGGCGCACTGCACCCACACTCAAGCCCACTGCACAACCCGCGATCCCCAGCCAGCGAGAGAAGAAGGCCATACAAAAGCGTGCTGAGGGCCGCGCCAAACTCCCGCCCAAATTCAGGGACGGCCTCAAGCGATTTCTCTTCTCGCCCACAAGAATCTTGAAGATCATTAGGCTGGTGAGCAGAGAGAGCTGATTGCCCGCTGGGCGGATGCAAGAGCGGATGCAGGCCGGCTTCGGCCTCAGGGAGTGAGTGATTCCCAGGGGCGCCACCTGGGGGAAACTTCCCTAATTCCCTTTGCCGGTCCACATTGTTTCGCCTCCCCTTTCTTCCTCCTCTCCCTCTGCTCCTCCCACACACTCTACCCTTGCTACTAAATTTGGCACGCTTCCCTCCACCCCTCACTTTTATATTCCTCAGGTTTCCCCTCACAAAGGGAACTAGGGAAGCAATGGAGATAATAACAGAAATGTGTACATTAGCAAACAAGAATAATAGACTTGACCAATAAAGTTGATAAACCACTGGCCAATATAACAGGAAAAAATGGGGTAAAAGAGGACGTATATTTAAAGTTAGAAACCAGAAAGGGAAAATAACGCAAACCCCGAAGAAACTGAAAGGATTCACAGGAGCACTTTGCAAAACAAATAAATGTGAATAATTGGATCAAAGAGTTGATTTTCTGGGAAACTATAAATTACCAAAACTGATCCCAGAACAGAGAAAAACCTGAACAGACCAATATAAGCACCGGGGGGGGGGGGGGGGGGGGGGGGGGGGGGGAATGAGAGTATCTTTCAGAAATGTGTCAGGCCCAGACTTTTTCACAGGTTAACTCTTTTCAAACCTTCATGGGATGCAATTCTGATACTATTCAAACTTTTTCAAAGAATAGAGAAAGAAGAAACATTTCTGAGCTATTTTTACAAAGTCAGTGTAACACTGATATCAAAACCTGACCAAGTTCAGAAAAAGAAAACTAAATAGAAATCTCACTTGTATCAAAGCAGCAGTATTAATATATTAACAGAAAATGCTCATCAGTGCTTCTTCAAAACACACCATGAAGAAGAAACATAAGGATGATTCAATATTAGGACTCTATTAAACTAATCCACCATAAGTAAAAGAAGAAAAAATTAGGACACTATCAAATAGGGTACAGAACACATTTGACAGAATTCAACTTTCATCTCTGAGTGAAAAAAAAAGTGAACAAGGGAAGAAGAGAGAGACCAGTTAAATAGGAATACACAGATATTTCACTGACATTATAAAAATAAACCCCAAAGTCAGCATCATATATAATTAAACCTCAGAAGTATTCCCATTAAAATGAGGAACAAAGAGGATGCCCACTAGTCACCACAATCAGACAGGAAAAAGGAATAAGTATGACTATTTGAAAAGAAGAGGCAAAATATATCATTTCTTACAGCTGATATGATCAAAGATCTAAAAAATAAAATCAACTGGGAAACAATTTAGAACAAGATAAATTCTACTAACTCATTAGTAGAAATGAGCAAACAAGAACTTAAAATAGAAGAAAATATTTCTCTTTGCAATAGCAATCAAGATGACAAAATATCTAAGATTAAATGAAATAAATTTGAAAGACCTATATGAAGAAAACTTTAGAACTCTATTGAGAGATATTTTAAAAACCACTAAAATAACCGGAAAGATATACTTTGTTCTTAAAGAGTTAAGACTAAATTTTGTAATCTTTCCATATTATAAGTTAAAGGAAATCCCAATTAAAATACCAACAGGCTTAGCTTCGGGAACTTGACCAAGACAAAAATGAGAAACATAACCTGAGAATGAGTACTGAAAGGGGGACTAAGTCAGACAATAATACAACATAAAATGAGTTGCTTGTAATTTCAGAAGTACTAGAAAAGAAATCAGCAACTCAATAGAAGAAAAGAGTTTCAAAAGCATCCCGAATACACACGAAAATTTAGTATATGATAAAGGTTGGATTTCAGATCAGTGGTGTTTCCCAATAAATGATGTTGGGATAATCAACAGCTGTTCAGAAAGAAAGAAAGCTGGGACTCTACCTCACTCTTTCTATCAAAATCAATATATATTTACTTTACTTGACCTGTATATACACAATTCTTTCTGGTATGAAATATACACTGTTAACAGTGATTACTTTTAAGGAGATAGACTAGGGTTGGGATGAGGGAGGAGAAAGAAGCTTCTGTACTGTGTGCAATTTTTGTCTGTGTTATTTCATTTCTTAAACATGTAAGGAATTTTTTAAATAATATATATGTGCAAAACAATACAGGCAATTGCAATATAATCAGATTTACAGTCTGATCATTTATTTTATTTTGTTTTTTAATAGCTCATTTGCATTAAAACAAATCCTGTTTCTTTTACTGCAGGGCCTTCTCATAGGGGCACTAGTTTGTTTCATCATTGCTGAAGCCCAGGAGTCCTATATAGCAATCACAGTCCTGGAAACCTGCATCGTTCTTTTTTTTCATTCTAATATATATGCTAACCCTTCACCACTCGATGACTTATTTACATTGGCCCTTACTTGTAAGTGTTCATTTTCATAATTTTCATATAAGCTTTGCCCTCAGCCCCACAGTAAAGGCTCTCTTCAAGGGAGCACAACAGAGAGATCTCTCTGGACAAGGACATAGCTGAGCTATGACAGAGTGTCACCCTAATCCCAGAGAGGAAACTAGCCTAAAGCTCAGAAAGATTCCTTGAACCCCTCCATCTATAGGACAACCAACACACACACCTGCTTCCATCTCATTACGGCCCTAAACACGTGGTACTTTTCAGCTGGTCCTAAAGAAAATTTTACTCAGTGTATTCAGTAGTATATTGCTTGTAAAACAGCACGTGCTTCTTCTACTTGTCAAACAGCACCCTCTCTAACAGATTACAAACGTCCCTCCGAAAAAGCATGTTTCTACAACATGGCTAAGTGGCAGAAAACTGTCACGTGTGCCCTGAAGGAGTGCAAGAGTCAAACTTCTCATGTGTCAAGGGTCCAGCTTTTCCAAAGGGGTGCCGTATGGTGGAGTATTCAGGAAAAGACACTGCATGGCCTTTTTCAATAGCTTTTTCCAGAATTTCATACTCTTTACCAACTGAAAAATTCCCAAAGCTAATTCCTCAGGTCACAGAAAAATCCTTCTCATTCCGGACTCTGAGGCTCTGTATCCTCACAGACTGGACAGGAAGCATAGTTTTGTCCAGATACAGACATGGGCCCCGTTCCTGGCCCTGCCACCTTACTAGCTGTGAGAACTTTAGCCTCAGTTTCCCCATCTGGGAAATTCAGAGAAGGAAAAGCGTGATGATAAGAGCTGTCTATAGGGGTCCTGTAACATTTAAATGTGTTTAAAGCAAAGATCACAAAAGGCTTTGCCACAAAGTAAATATATTCGCTACAAAGTGTGGGTCGGACCCCCTGAGGCAGTTGGGTGGCTTTTACCCTTTTATCTTTTGCACCGTGAACCATCCTAACTCCGAGCCCATGCCTCTTCCACATCATACATTTTTATGGTACCTTTTTTTAAACTGTAAGGTAGGATGGGTTGCTATTGAACTAAAACTCAAAATACTTTCTCCAAGCGTCTGAGGGATTTTCTGGAAAGGCTGCTGAGCTCTCTCAGCAGCAGAAAGCACAGGAAGCAATCTCTGAGCAGCTTTAATTGGACACGTGGAAGACCCTCTCAGTTCTGGAGAGCTACAACCACGGAGAGGTTTCTGAGCGGAAACTAAAATCTCTGTCCATGGAAGTTTTCAAGAGCGGAAGGTAAAATAACTGTTTTTGAGCACATGCCACACACCAGGTACTTCTTCATATAGATTACCTCATTTAATCCTCACAACAACCCAGTGAGGTTGTGGTCGTCCCCCACTCCCCCTTTAACAAATGAGAAAATTGGATTAAAGAGACTGTGTTGCCCGTGGTTGTATCTAGGCACATGGAAACTCAGATTTGGGCCCAGGTCTGTCTGACTCTAAAGCCCAGACTCTTTCCAGACTTTATGCCCTATAGCCTTGTGCTGGTTTATCTTCACCCTCCCTACATCTTTGTCTCCCTCACGTTCTCAAAATCTTACCTTCTCTGAATCCGCTCCCATTTTCTCATGGTTTCCTTAAAATGTGCGACGAACGGTGAACTGATTTTCCTGGAGTGGAGGGCAGGGTACAAGCCTTTGGGGGTCGGCGACTGAGGGCTGCACCAAGGTCAGCAGCTGCGGTCAGGAGGACCGGAGCCCTCCAAAGGCCCATGGCCATAAAGCTGGAGAGCTGGAGAGAGCCTCAAGGCCCCGTGCTTTGCTGGAGGGTCCAGGGGGAGCATCCAGGAAGAGCCTCAGGGAGAGGCAGGAGCCAGGGTCTCCTAAGCATGAAGCAGGTGCTGCGAGAGGAGCTGTTCCCAGTCACGGGCAGCTCAGGCCAGCTTGTGGAGAGCTGCAGGCCTCTGGGCGACTCTGGTAAAGCCAGGCCCCCTTTTGCTACCTCTGTCCTTGGGGGAGAGCATCCTCTTTTCTTTGGATAGCTATGGGAGCCCAGAGCGTGATACAAAGCCCCTGCCTTTTTCTTGTTTCTGTCCTCCAGGGTGTGGCCAGCTTTCCTCACCCCACCTGTGGTGGGGTCACTGTCTTCATTGCTAGATTTCATTATCAACTTTACCCACCCTAGTCTTATGTCACCAGCGTACCCAAGAAAAGTATGAAGTATAATTATTGTCTTCTGAATAGCCCATATTTTCAACACTTCTACACTGTAAAGAAGGTATTTCCCCATACAGTCCGAGAAACTGAGTTCTGGTCAAGCTGATGTCTTTTCCAATAGAAAGCAATCTAGAAGAAAGAACATAATAAACATATTTAACTAGAACTCTATTGAAGGGATGATTCCAAGACTACCAGCAATATCTTTACATTTACAAGTAAAAGGTATCAGCTTCAGAATGTCCCCTTCAGATTCTGGTGATGACTGATCAGGTTCTGCCATGTGTTTGGAGAACCCCAAGGCACAAATACCGCATAATGTTTATTGTATATACATCCTTCTTACAAATACCACATTTTGTGAAACAAAGTGTAAAGGTTTGACTTCTTCCTAATATTCAATGATTTAAAAAAATAAAAAAAAGCATTCACCCTCAAAGCATCTTTTTCTTTCCCAATTTTAACTCTATACAATTTTGTTTATCTCAGGGAACGGTTTGGGGGCTTTATAAAAAAATAATAGTCAAGTCACAAACCCATCTCTCACTGTGTCAGAGGCAGGTACTTGGGTCAATAAGGTATTCAGTCAAAGGGAGAAAGAAAAAGATGATGAGTAAGGATGACATTTATGGGGAAACCAGAAGTGCTTTTGCACATGGCAAGACTCAGCTGTAGTTTTACCCATCTGGGAGAACGTATCTTTCTCTTTGTCAAAGATGAGGCCAACAAGAGGGTCTGTGTCTAAGGCAAAAGGGAGGGGGTGTGAGTCAGGAGAAGACCCTTGGGCTCTCAAGTCAGACTGAGGAGGGTCATAGCCACTTACTGGCTGAGCAACCCCAGGCAAGTTGCTTACCCATCTGTAAATTGGGGATAATGAGAGTTTGTTGTGAGAATCAAATGAGATCACATATGAACACCTTGGCACCGTATGTGACAGATAGTAAGTGCTCAAGATATGTGAGCTACAATAGAAATGTTAGGTACGAAGAAAGCATTACTTCCAAGGGACAGTTCAGAAGAGCACTTCCTTGCAAGTAAGGACCACAGTAAACTATAATGTCCAATAGTCCAGCGAGGAGATGGAATTCTGACAGGGAGTCAACAATTGGCTAGGGAGACCGAGTCTGCATTTGTTTTGTTACTGTTATCATTATTAGTGTGCATTCGTCCAAATTCTCAATGATCTAGACTGCAGTTAGTTAATTTTTAATTTTATAAGTTTACACTCCGCTTGGGTCCTTGTTCACATTTTTTGATATCTTGGTTTACACAATCCTCAGATCCTACGCTTCCTGCAAAGCTGAAAACCATTGTACCTGCCTCAGTGTGGGCAGACCTCTCACTCAGCCTACAGAACCCAACTGGAGCTGACTTCCAACCCTCACCAGCCCTGCACCACGTGCCCCCTCCAGTGTTACTCACCAGGCGCCCAAATAACAGACATTAGTGCCTCTCCAAGAGGCAAGTCCCATTCCACAACAGGGCTCCTTGCTCAACAGTCTCAATAGGAAGAACACCAGAAGTTCACAGAAAAGTTTACTATCTTGAAGGCAGATATCAGGAATCTACACTTTGATGCATTCCCACTACACCTCATGTGATGCTTTCAGATTCATTGTGCCATTTAATCCTCAGATGAACGCAATGAATCCCAATCATTATCCCCATATTAAAAATTAGCCTCACTCCCTAACACCATACACAAAAATAAGCTCAAAATGGATTAAAGACCTAAGTGTAAGGCCAGAAACCATCAAACTCTTAGGGGAAAACATAGGCAGGACACTCTATGACATAAATCACAGCAAGATCCTTTTTGACCCACCTCCTAGAGAAATGGAAATAAAAACAAAAATAAACAAATGGGACCTAATGAAACTTCAAAGCTTTTGCACAGCAAAGGAAACCATAAACAAGACCAAAAGACAACCCTCAGAATGGGAGAAAATATTTGCAAATGAACCAACTGACAAAGGATTAATCTCCAAAATTTATAAGCAGCTCATGCAGCTTAATAACAAAAAAACAAACAACCCAATCCAAAAATGGGCAGAAGACCTAAATAGACATCTCTCCAAAGAAGATATACAGACTGCCAACAAACACATGAAAGAATGCTCAACATCACCAATCATTAGAGAAATTCAAATCAAAACTACAATGAGATATTGTCTCACACCAGTCAGAATGGCCATAATCAAAAAATCTAGAAACAATAAATGCTGGAGAGGGTGTGGAGAAAAGGGAACCCTCTTGCACTGCTGGTGGGAATGTAAATTGATACAGCCACTACGGAGAACAGTATGCAAGTTCCTTAAAAACTACAAATAGAACTACCATACGACACAGCAATCCCACTACCGGGCATATACCCTGAGAAAACCATAATTCAAAAAGAGTCATGTACCACAATGTTCACTGCAGCTCTATTTACAATAGCCCGGAGATGGAAACAACCGAAGTGTCCATCATCGGATGAATGGATAAAGAAGATGTGGCACATATGTACAATGGAATATTACTCAGCCATAAAAAGAAACGAAATTGAGCTATTTGTAATGAGGTGGATAGACCTAGAGTCTGTCATACAGAGTGAAGTAAGTCAGAAAGAGAGAGACAAGTACTGTATGCTAACACATATATATGGAATTTAAGGAAAAAAATGTCATGAAGAACCTAGGGGTAAGACAGGAATAAAGACACAGACCTACTAGAGAATGGACTTGAGGATATGGGGAGGGGGAAGGGTGAGCTGTGACAAAGCGAGAGAGAGGCATGGACATATATACACTACCAAACGTAAGGTAGATAGCTAGTGGGAAGCAGACGCATAGCACAGGGAGATCAGCTCCGTGCTTTGTGACCGCCTGGAGGGGTGGGATAGGGAGGGTGGGAGGGAGGGAGACGCAAGAGGGAAGAGATATGGGAACATATATATATATATATATATATATATAACTGATTCATTTTGTTGTAAAGCAGAAACTAACACACCATTGTAAAGCAATTATACTCCAATAAAGATGTTTAAAAAAAAAAGCCTGTTGGGGGAACTCCCTGGTGGTCCAGTGGTTAAGACTCCGCACTTCCACTGAAGGGGGCACACATTCATTCATTGGTCAGGGAACTAAGATCCTAGCCTGTTGGCACAGAGGGGTGATAAAACACGCCCCAGGTCATACATCTAGGACTTGGCAGGCCAATTATTTGTCCTTATTTGTCCCATACCATTTTGACCCTCCATTACCCATTCCACAGAAAATGCCAAAGATGGGTGCTGCACTGCCAACCTTGGGGGATAGATCATTTCCTCCTTATTTGGGTGTCCCTGATGGGAGGCAATAGTGAGTTGAGTTCTGACTCCACTCCTTGCCAGATATTCAATCATAGTCGATTTAATGAACTTCTCTAAGCCTCTGTTACATCTTCTTAAAATGGTGATCCTAGCCATACTGACTTTGGAGGGTGTTTGTGAGGGTTAAATGAGGTAATAAGAGGGGAAACACTCGGCACGCTGAGGAGCTCCACTTAGACCCATTATGATCAGACAGCAGGGCTCTTCGCTGTGTTTGGGCAAGTGCACCAGCCAAGCTGACACTACCAAGTCATGCCACCAAGACGTAAAAACTTAAAATGTTCAGATTAGTTACCTGGGCCGTATGGAGGTTAAAGGACCCCGGGGTTTTACTCATCCTCCAACACTGGTGCCGCTGACTCAGTGAGAACCTTCTCTTTCATTATCACTGTGCTACCAAAGCCCAGGCTGTGCTTATCCTCAGGAGTGTGCCCCCTCCCACTCATCCTCATCCTTTATTTAGCACATGAAGAAACAGATTGGGCCAGCATTTGAAGAACCCAGTATCAATGTCCAAAAAGAAGGACACAGATAGCCTATAGATGTCAAGGCAGACTCAATTCTGGCCGTTTTAGGAAAGAGAGAAAGTCATTTTCACTCCAGAACATCAGGCTAGCTCCTCAGATGGGTTCCTGCTTCTTGGGATGTGGGACCCTAAAGAATAAATATGATCCAACTTCCAAAGTATCAGTTCTACTGATTTGCAGATTTGGAAGTAGAATTAAATCAGTAAAGTGTTCATCTAAATTTTTATTTTTATATTAAAACAAATGTATTATGGAATAGAATGCAGAATTTACATTAATTTAAAATACAAAACTTCAATAAGATCATATTTATGGAGGGTCAATATGGGTGAGGCCCCTAGACCTCTAGGTTTTTTTCTTGCCCATTTTCCTATGACCTTTAAAAAGTCTGATGGAAAAGTTGTCAGCTTTTTTTTTTTTTTAAGAGTGTTCTTTAATGAAGTTAAACCCATTTCTACTGACGATCCTATCCAGAACCTTATAATCACATAAACTCATGTCTCTGGAAGATATAAGAATTACGCTGCTGAGAGTTCCTCTTAATATTAATCAAATGGAAAGTTTATTTTGGATTTTTTTTTGTTTTTTAATAGATCTTTATTGGAGTATAATTGCTTCACAATACTGTGTTAGTTTCTGTTGCACAACAAAGCAAATCAGCCATATGCATACACTTGTCCCCATATCCCCTCCCTCTTGAGCCTCCCTCCCATCCTCCCTATCCCACCCCTGTAGGTCGTTGCAAAGCACAGAATCTCCCTGTGCTATGCTGCTGCTTCCCACTAGCTATCTATTTTACATTTGGTAGTGTATATATGTCGATGCCACTCTCACTTCGCCCCCCTCCCACCCCAAGTCCTCAAGTCCATTCTCTGTGTCTACCTCTTTATTCCTGCCCTGTAACCAGGTTCATCAGAACCTTTTTTTTTTTTTTAGATTCTATACATATGTGTTAGCATATGGTATTTGTTTTTCTCTTTCTGACTTACTTCACTCTGTATGACAGTCTCTAGGTCCAACCACGTCTCTACAAATGACCCAATTTCGTTCCTTTTTATGGCTGAGTAATATACCATTGTATATATGTACCACAGCTTCTTTATCCATTCGTCTGTTGATGGGCATTTAGGTTGCTTCCATGTCCTGGCTATTGTAAATAGTGCTGCAATGAACATTGTGGTGCATGACTCTTTTTGAATGATGGTTTTCTCAGGGTATATGCCCAGTAGTGGGATTGCTGGGTCATATGGTAGTTCTATTTTTAGTTTTTTAAGGAACCTCCATACTGTTCTCCATAGTGGCTGTATCAATTTACATTCCCACCAACAGTGCAGGAGGGTTCCTCAAAGGGAAAGTTTTTAAAAGGCATCCATCCTTAGATGGGTAACTGACCAATTTAAATATTTTATGAAATTACATTTTCATGTGAAGTTGACAATTTTCAATTCTGTATTGCAGGATCTTATCAACAGTTTCATTACTGCTGTGTTCCTTTTCGTAGTTGCCGTCTTGGCGATGGAAGAAAAGGAAAGAAGTCATTTATTCTACGTTGGAGGGGTAAGTAGAGGCCTTCATGACTCCATTTAAGATCAGTATTTCAAGACTCTTTGGAAAAGGGAAACTGGCAGACTATCATTATTTCATTTATAGAACACCATCGCCACCACCCTTTCTCTTTCTTGTGCTGACTTCTTCAGAAGATTTGAGGTTGCACAAACTCTAAGCTCATTCTCCAAATAGGTACGAAAACAAACCTACAGAATCTCTTTTGAAAATCATACACACTATTTTTTTAAATGTTGCAACAAGATGTTCTTTTTATCTATAAGTAGGACTTTGACTTTTCTGGACTAGAAAATCATACTTTAAATCACAAGAAAAAAAATGATTGTAGAAAAGAAAAAGTGCATTGTCAAAAGTGAGTGCCTCAGCCTGGTTGAGGAAGGAAAAGAAGTTCCCACACCAGGCTAGGCACGTTCTGTTTTAATCTCTATAACTCTCATTTTTACAGATATGGGAACTGAGGTTAAATACCTTACCCTGGCTCACAAGGCTGGGACAAATCCTCATCATATGAAGACCACAAGAAATGGCAGATTAAATGCTTGGAAGATAGGGGGTGTGGAACGGGGTGGTGAGACTTTGATTCAAGAAGTTAAGCTATGGGAACAGAAATTAATCCAGAAAAAAAAAAGTTTAAGTTCTTTGAATTCATTCTATGATCAGTAAATGTTTGTCGATCCCATTGGACTGCGCCTGAGCTCAGTGTTGGAGATAGAGTCCCTTCCCCCTTAGGGAGCTCACAGATTAGCTAGAGCAAGACCTATCTGGGAAAAGTTCATGAAGGCAGCCAGGGATTAAGTGACAGTAAAGAGAAACATACAAGGTAGACAGGAGCTGGGGAGCACTTGGAATCTAGTGTGCTGTAGCCCGCTGACCCCCATCTGCTAACTCAGCCACCAAGCCTTCTCCTACCTGCCAGGAGCTCCCACGCCCTGGTCTCCATCAATCCTTACCTGGATGGCAGGGGCTCCTACCACCCTCCACTGGTCTCCCTGCCGCCAGCCTGGTTCGCTTTCCATTCATCTTGCGACAAGTGGGCTTTCTGAATCGGGAACCTCCCCTCCCCTCTTGATGAAGTCCCAGATCCTGCACCTCCCCAGCCTCAACTCTGCCCCCACCCTCACCGGCTCCATACGTCTCAGCCACACCAGATTCCTTGGAGACCCCTGTCCAGTACCTGGAGTTCTCCTCCCAGTTGGTCCCCTTGGAAACTCCTTCCTGCCTTTTCAAACATAGCCCAAGAGTCCTTTCCACTGAGGGGCCTTCTCGGGAGGCCCACAGCCACCCGGAGCCTCCTAGGATCAGTGCCCTACTCTCGTCCTGGTGCCTCAGACCTTAGGCAAGGCCGTCACTGGCAGAAAAGCCTATTTCCAAAAACCCTTTCTCTGGGAATGCCAGAATGGGCTGCAGCAGCCGACTGGGCAGACACCAGGAAGGTAGTGGAGGGTCAGAGGGGGACAGGAGGCTGCACGCCCGCCGCCCGGATAGGGAGGACAGGCTGCTAAGAAGCTGCAGAATAACCCCGCCTTTCCTTCCCGCATATGGTCTTGTGTCTGACAGTCCCTGTGTCTCACAGCGGCAATCGTGTGTCTCATCGATGCGACTGTGGTCACCAAGACGATGAGGAATACCATGAAAAAAGCTCTGGGAATCGAAACCAAAACCGGTGCCTCCCCCACCCAGGAACCCATCTCACCCACAAGGGTACCCCCAAGGGGAAGCCCAAGGGCACCTACAAGGGCAACCATGAAGCAACGCGGCCTGTCGGAGCCACCCTCGGAAGCACCCTCTCGGGCACCGTCGCGGGCACCTTCGCAAGCACCATCGTCTTCTCCCTCCCGCCGCTGAGTTCGCACGCTGTCACCCATTTCAGCCCACATGTGATCGTAAAATCAGGGCTGCTAAACCCGGAACACTTCTGCTTGCTCGTGCTGCCTTGTGTAAAAGTCGCGTTACATTTTCAAACGAGTGCCAATGCGCCCTCGGGGCTCTGGGCGCGACTGCCCCAGGCGGCCACAGTTTCAGCCAACCCGACCCGAAGGCGGGAGCAGCGGCTACAGCCCCCGGCACCCCCAGAGGCCTCGCGTGGGGAGCGCTCCGCGTGGGGAGCGCTCCGCGTGGAGGCGGGACCACCACCGGAGCCGGCTTGGGGGCGGGGGCTCCCGCGCAGGGTCTGGGCGGCCGCGGACACTCGAGGCGCTTGCTGCCGGGCGCGGGGGCGCGGCTGGGCGGAGGGGACTCGCGTGCAGAGACTAGGTGCGCGTCGAGAGGGCGCTAAGCGCTGGCCTTCGCTCGTCGTTCCCGGCCGTTGGCTGAGCGCGGCCTCCAAGCAGGTCGGTGGGCATTCGGCTCGCTCAAAGGCCAGGCCTGGCCGGGAACAGCAAAAATTGGGCAGGCCGTGAGAAGCTGAGAACTCCACGGCAAGATGGTTGACAAAGGCAAAAAGGGCAAACCCGGGGCCACCGCAGCCGCAGCCGCAGCCGCAGCCGCGCCGGGGGCGGCCCCTCCTCCGGGCGATGAAGTGGGAAGGTGGAAGGGGTGGTGTCGCCGTTACAAGTTGGAAGTCAAGAACAGCAATAGAGAGTTCTGGCTTAATGGGTACGCTGAGGTCAAGCTCATTATCTTGGTAAGTGGGCCCGTATCCCTGGGTGGGGCTGGGGGGGGGG